GGCTCGCAGCTGACCTCCTGAGCGTGTGGAGGGGGCCCGTGAGGTCACGGACGCAGAGCTCCTGGCACGCCATAAGGACGCAGAAATGGCACAGCGGCTGTTATGACGAGTTCTAAAACCGTCGCCCTCCCCACGCGTGCCCGTGTGGTCTCCCTGAAGCCAGGCAGCAGCCCCATCTAGTAGCTGCTGTCGCCCTCCCCGTCCGGCATGCGCACCACAAGAGCGTTGCTCTTGGTGCAACAGGGCCCGTGTGCAAAGCGTCTCAGGGTTGGATTTCGACGTTCTCCATACAACCCTGGACCTGTTCCTGGACCAGAGAGCCCGTGATGTGTAATCAGCGCTTATCACAAATCTATGCTTTTCCATGGCCATACTTACCGGCAGTCTAGTTCTGTTGCATTGCATCTATGGTCAAAGAGTAAACGCACCACACTAGAGCTTTTAGTCACCCTGTTTGGGCATTTCTTCATTCTAAAAATTGGCCTTAGGAAAGTGTAACCTTAAGGGACTTACTTGCTCTCTACCTTGTTTCCTTGTCTATAGGGTGGAGAAAAGGGAAGGATGCTGGCCACACCAGGCGAGGGACAGGGTGATGCAGAACACAGGGGTTCTTTATGGGAAAGAAGCACTCTCCAGCCCCCAGAGCTGTGAGGATGAAATCACTGAGCACAGAGCTCGAGAAATACACATTCTTTGTTGTGCCATTAAGCTCAACTCAGGGAGGATTTATGGAGAACCTGCTGTGTTCAGCAGACCAACCCCTGCTCCCCGGGGCAGGGGGAGTCCAGAGATGAATAATCCCCTGGAGAGGGCCGCGGTCTGGGGGTGATGTGGGGAGCCAGAATCTTTTGTCCTGCTGTACCGGGGCCAGATCCTACAGGAGCCCACGGTGTCCCTGGTGCTGGTGGTACCCTGAATTTCCCAGGCGAAGCTTGCTGGGCCGGCGGCCTCAGGGGTGGCTCTCTGCCTCCCCCTGCTGGCAGCATCCTGCCAGTGCCCCCTCTCGGCAAGCAGGTGGTCCCATGGGGATTTCCATCATTTGTCTGCAGCTCACAAATTGCTCACGGCCTCCCGTCACTGTGTTATTATCCCATTTTACAGATGGGGAAGCTGAGGCTTAAAGAGGCAGGGGACTTCCCCAAGTGCACCCATTTAAGCCAGGGCCATGTGACTGCTCCGGTCCACTTTCTCATAACCATTCAGGGAGACTCCGTGGCTCGGCCCCGTCACTTTCCAGACGGGAACACTGATGCTCACGAGTTAGTACCGCAGCCAACCTGGAATTTGGCAATGGCAGATTTGGGGGCTCTTCGGTGCTCCACTGCGGCCCTTTTGTCTTCCCAATCTGCAGTCCCCCAGGCCTCCAAGTCCACGCCTGAAACAAGTCACTCCTGAGGCTCGGGGCTCTTGCCCTCCTGTGTGTGTGCACGCCTTCGGCTGATGTGGGGTGCTGGTGCCGTGCAGGGGGGCTGCAGGTGCAGCAAGAGAGCTGGGTCCTGCCCTCGGGAGTCGCCTGAGGTTCAACTCTCCCCACCAGTCTGGCCCAGCAGCCTACTTCTCCCCTGGGGCCCCAAGGCCACCTCCTGGGCTCCTGGCTCTCATTAGCACCTTGCCAGAGCCAGGGGGAGGCCAAACTGGCGATGTCCCTCCTGGTGGGGAGCCCCTGAGAGCTTACTTGCTTTCAGAAATCAAGTGCAAGGCCTGAAGAGCCCCAGGCAAGGCACACCCCCCTGATGCTACCTCCCACTCTCCATGTTTCTGCCCCTTGCCACTCCAGAAGCTTCTGTTCGCTTCAGCCACAAATGCGCCTTTTTCTCCACCCCTGGCTCTACCCTGTCACCAGCAGGTGGGACCCAGGCCTTGCCAGGTGCCCCCACGGTGCCCCCAACCACACTGGACACATTTGCAGCTCTCCAGTGTCCATGCTCCCCAGGGCGGAGGCCCGGCCTGTCAGTCCCACAGCCCCAGCCCCAGCTCCTAGCAGTGCCTGACACACAGTAGGGCTCAGCCAACGATGCATACAGTTTGCTGAAGGAGGTCTCTTTCGGTTTTTTCCAGGGCCCTGCTGCAGCTAACGGGACACAACTCCCTTTCTTGCCTGGCTCTGACTCTCTGCGGAATTAGCATCCTTCGTGTGCTTTCTAGGACACCGCTCTCACTTATGTCACCTTACATGTGTACTTGGCTCAACGATTAAGGAAAAAACAAGTTCTCTGAGGCTTGCCAGGTACCAGGCACGTTTGCAGATGCTGGAGATGAGAGACCAGAGAGACGGTGCCATGCTTATGATTAGCCTGGATGTGGATTTTTTCTTGCAAGGCACCCCAGGGGTCTGGGATGGTTCTACTAGTGCTTTATACCCCAGCTGCCCCCATGGAGGTGCCTCCCTCTGCTTATTCTCGGCCTGGCCACACACCACTGACAGGCGCTCCACACCATGGGGGCCACAGAACAAGCTCTGACACCCAGCTCTCTCTGCCCCCGGACCTGTGCTCTCCTGAAGGAACTGATGTCCCCTTCCTCTCCATTCAGACCTGCTCAGCTGTATGGCCTCCTCTTCCAGAAGCCCTGCCTGACAGCACTTTCCACCTCGAAGCCCTAATGCACTTTTTCCCTGGACCACTCAGCCAGCCCTGTCTCATGGAGGCAGCCCCTTGCTCTCTCCAGGCTGAGTCAAGCAGGCCCCCTCCCATGCCCCCAGCCTCAGCGCCCGGGATGGAGGGCTTGAGTCAGAGGCTGAGCAGAGCACCTGGTGAGGAGCAGGACCGCCCTAAAAGCATCCACTTACAAACCACTCTACTGCAGCTACTTTATGCCCTGGAGGAGTGAGGGGCAGAGGCTCATGGCCATGGGCCACCACCCTTCACCTACACCGAGACTGCGGGTACCCCTCCAAGGGCTCCTTCCCACAATCACCGAAATGGTCGGTTGTCAGCTCCAAAATCTAGGGAGCTACAGCCCCAGGCTGGGGTTGCTGGGGGGAGGGGGCCTGACCCCCTCCCACAATGTGCCCAATGTCTAGACCAGCGCTGTCCAATGGAAATATGCCAGGCACTTATGGAATTTTAAACTTTTGACGAGCTATGTTAAAAAAAGGGAAACAGATGAAATAAAATGTAATAGTATATTTAACTCAATATACCCAAAATGTTATCATTTCAATGTGTGATAGAAAGCTATCAGTGGGCCATTTGATGTTCTTGGCACCCTGGCCTCTAACGTGTACTTAGATCCCATCCCAGCTCGGCCCAGCCCCCCGTGCAGGCGCTCAGCGGCAGCCTTCTTTGGACAGTGCAGGCTACTGCGAGGGGCTGACGAGCACAGTCCTGGGAAGTGTGTAGCCCTGGGTCCCGTGTGCTCTGGGTAACAGGACTACAGCTCCTGTTACTGAGCTTTGCATGAGGAACAAACAACTCTGCCCTCAGGAAAGAGCGGCTGACTCTAGCCCCTGTAGGTGGGCTTCAGGGAGGCGGTGGCATTTGTATGCAGCCTCCGTGAGTCAGGGAGGAGGGACAGAATGAGGGACGCGCTGCAGGCAAAGGGAAGCAGTGCGCCCCATCGGCGCGGGCCCTACGTGCTCTGCAGCCAGTCGCCCTGTGCCCATTTGCCGCTGACAGGCCCAGGACAGCCCAGTTTGTGCCTGCTGTTCAGGTAGAGGCGTCAACAGCACGTTGTCAAGGTGCTCAGCCCGCCTGGACTCCAGGTCGCTGAGGATGTGATGGAGCTTACAAGCGGCGGACCTGTGACTCAGAGCCCAGCCTCCATGACCTTTGGCTCGACTGTGGGCCTAGACCTCTCTCCTGCACACCAGGCTACGGAGGGCCAAGAACGTGAGGGCCTCCACTCCAGGGGCTTAACGGGAGGGAGGAGGGGATGGGCCCTTGCACCTTTGCCTCTGCTTCCCCCTTTTACGGGGGTTAACAGTGACATCTGTCTCTGCAGAGCGGTTTGTTGGGCCACAGTGACTGCAGGAGGAAGTGAATCAAGGGCGGCCGATCCAGGGCTGAGTTCCAGCCCACGCTTGCTAACTCTGTGTTGAAATAGGTTGGGACCTTGATTTCTGCAAGGCAAATGTTAGCTTAGCCGAGTGGCCACGTCAGATAGGCTGAAACTCCCCGGGCACCCCCTGGGGCCCTGACAGCGTGGCTGCTCCCCGCCAACGTCACAGCACACTCCTTCCTTCTTCCCGGGCTCCTGAGTCCCAGGGTGACCAAGGAGCCCTCCACCCCCAGGCAGGCCTCCTCAGCGGCTGCTGTTGCACTAGCTGCCGCTGGGAGCTCGGCCACGGGGCGGGGGGGGCGCGGAATGCAATCGGATGGTCACCCCCGCCACTCTTCCCGCCCCCTGGAAGGAGCTGGAGCAAGTGGGAGCAGGCTGCTACTCTCCCCTCTCCCTGCCAGGCAGGTGTGCAGGTGAGCGGGCCGGGCCGACTGCTTCCCACCTTCTGAACCTCCCTTCCTCACTGGGGAAATGTGGACACACACGGCGGCACCGCCTCGTCCCTAAGAGGATACCCTCCACGGGAGGGCTCGGAGGGTGCCATCCACCGGGAGCAGCAGCCAGGCGCGGCGGCCCGGCCTGTCCACTGCACACAAGTGCCCGCTCAACGGCTGCGGAACGCCGAACGGAGCCCTGGCTTCCGTCCACGCGGCCTGGGGGCCGCGACCGGGCGCAGAGGCGGCCGCTGCCCGCCGGGGAAGAGCCGGGGCCTCGGAGGGGCTCGGGCGGACGGGGGAGAAGGACAGGAGCAGCGGGGCGTGCGCGGGGGTGGCGGCCGCACCGCGTAGGCGCGGCGTGGCCGGGGCCGCGGGGCTGCCTACAGGACGACTCCCAGGGCTCCGCCTCCCGAAGGCCGGGCGCGGACCGAAACGAACTTCCCGGGCAGAACTGGAACCCGGAGCCACCAGGGGCCGTAACCAGGCAGCCCGTGAGCCGCCGCGAGGTGCGCAGGCGCAGCCCGCCCCGGCGGCCGGCGCACGCGCGGTCGCCTCCGCCGGGCTCCAGCCCTGGAGGCAGTCCAACGGCAGGATGGGAGGGTCGCGCCTGCGCTGGGGCGCCGCTCGGCTTCTCGGTGCCGCCGAGTAGCCGTTCTCGGCCTCGGCCGCTCGAGACTGGTTCTTCACTTGGGCCTGACTGGAGAACCCGACTCTCTCCCATCCCAAGACGAGAAAAAGCTGGGAGGAAGAGCGGGCGCACCCAGGGCGACGTCCCCGAGCGGCCGTCCGCGCGCCCGGCCCGGCAGGTGGGCGAAGGGCGGGTCGCGGGGGGGCGGGTCGCGGGGGCGAGGCCAAGGGAGCGGGACCGCGGGATGGGCGCCGAGAGATTGGTCGCGGGCGAGGGCGGGGCCAGCGGGGCGGACGAATGGATGGCCGGCGAGGGAGGGGGCGGGGCTAGCGTACGGGGAGCGGCGTCTCGGGAGCAGCTGCGATGGGCGGGGCCGGTGGGCGTGGTGGGCAGGCGTGGCGCGCGCTGACGTCGCGGTCGGACACGTCGGCGGCGCGGCGGCCGGAGCCGGATGTGCCAAGATGGCTGCTGCGGCTGTCGCGTCTGCGCTCGTCGCCGCAGCCGGGCCGGCTCTCGCCGGCTGCTCCTGAGCGGCTGGCCCAGGGGTCGCGGAGGGGCCGGCGGGAGCGTCGGCCGCCCCGTGGCGCGCCGGTGAGGGCCGGGGTCGCGCGGAGGGGAGCGGCCGGGCCGGGCCCAGCCCAGCGGACGGCGCCTCTCCCGGTGCCGCCAGGTGTCGGGCAGAGGCCCGGGGGCGGGTGGGGACCTGCGGGCGCGGGGCGGGCCCGGCTGGGCCAGGTGCGCGGCCCGCCGGCCGCCTTCTGCGCCTCTGTTGCCCCCGGCAGACTGACGGGGCCCCGCAGGCACGGCCTGCGCTGTGGCAAGTGCCCGTCGGGTGGCCGTGTTGACCCTTGGCTTAGCCCTGGGGCCCGGACGGAGGGCTGCGTTGCAGTGGCTGGCAGATAGGCCAGACCCGCAACGTTTAAAGAGCACAAACGAGTACGAGTTTCTTTAGCAGTTTTGCGTGTCCTTTGCTTGGCAGCGTCTGAAGTAGTTCCGCCTGCTCGGTTGAGCGATTTCTCCTGGGCCGCGCTGGTGAGGAGACCGATGAGCATCGCTGTTGCCCGTTGGGAATTTCGCGGCAGTGACAGGTGTTGCGGCGGAGGTCTGTCGCTTGTGTTTTACATTACGGGTTAGAGGGCTACGGAATAAAATTGCAGTCGAGTGGGCACATCTCACAGCCACTTAGAATCAGTTTTGCTGCTTCACCTGGAAACACTTTTATTTATTTTTTTTAAAAGATTTTATTTACTTATTTGACAGAGAGCGAGCGAGAGCAGGAACACAAGCAGGGGGAGTGGGAGCGGGAGAAGCAGGCTTCCCGCGGAGCAGGGAGCCCCATGCGGGGCTCGATCCCAGGACTCTGGGACCACGACCTGAGCCGAAGGCAGTCGCTTAAGGGACTCGATCCCAGCACCCTGGGATCAGGACCTGCGCCGAAGGCAGACACTTGACGACTGAGCCACCCAGGCGCCCCCAGAGAGAGACTCTTTTTTTTTTTAAGATTTTATTTATTTATTTGACAGAGACAGAACGAGAGAGGGAACACCAGCAGGGGGAGTGGGAGAGGGAGAAGCAGGCTTCCCGCGGAGCAGGGAGCCCGATGCGGGGCTTGATCCCAGGACCCTGGGATCGTGACCTGAGCCGAAGGCAGACGCTTAACCGACTGAGCCACCCAGGCGCCCCTGAAAACACTTTTAAATGGCTTGGAGATTGGGCACGAGCTGCTTACGATTATGTGTTAAGCCCGTGTGTGCAGATGTTAACCTGAGTGGTATTTCCCACCCCAGATATGGCAGGGAGCAAACCAGGTCACACACAGTTGTTTCTAACATTGATACTTTTGCAAGTTGCAGCAGAACCAGGCTCCCTGCAGGTTTTTTTCCCCCCATGCCGTTTCTTAGGGTTCTGGGTGGTGTTATCTTGCAAACATAAGGCAAGAGGCATGTTCCTGTGATTCATTCACCCTAAATAGCAGTAGGTCCCAAAATCATCCAGAAAGCTTTCTTTAGGGTAGTGTGTCGATTTTAATGATTCCTTCTTGCTTCTGTAAAGCTCTTTCCTGAATGTCAGTGCGTGCTTTAGGATCTTTGTCATTTTTAGCAGTGTTTAGGCTCCCCTTTCTCTAAATGTGTTTGATTCTGTACTTAGGAAAGTTGGAGTTTATGGTTTCTTTGAGTGGAGTGTCTCATAGTCTGACAGGGACATCACACTCACAGTTGCCGTGAGGGAGATTGAAGGCAAATGGTAGACTCCCAGGTTCTTTCTGGCACTCCTCTTGGTTTACACACTCGTAGCTTGAGGCCGCAGCTCTGAGGATAAGGAGTGGGCTTTAAGTGTCTTGGTCCCACAGTCAGGAATTTATATTGGAAATAGGTGTGCTTAAGTATTTCCGAGAGCTACAAGGCAGTCTACTTGAAGAGCTAGGTTTATGAGTAATGCATCTTTAAGAACAGCAGCTGGTGTCTCTGAAATAGTGCTTTTTAAAAAAAGTTAGATGACTTGAGGGTGCAGGATGACTTCCTGGCTGGAATTAAGTTCCCTGGGGTCAGGAGAGAAGTGATAGGCAGTTTTTCTGTTTGTGAATAGAGAAAAAAGATTAAAAGGATAATGTTCAAGATTGTTTCAAATGAGATTGGCATACTGGTAAAAAGCTCTCAATTATGGGTAGGGGGGAGAGTAGGGGATTCTACGTTATAGGAGAGTGATAGTGTTTGCTTATAAAATGGTTCTTAGTCTGGGAGTTGAGAAAATAGTTTTTAAAGAAAGTTTCTTCAAGGAAAGCATGTAAGTATAAACCTGTGAAATTTACATTTTGATAACATTTCCCTATTAAATAGCAGTAGGGATTAAGGCATCCCAGAATCTCTGTGAGTAGAACTTTGTAAGATGAAACCCAGAAGAAACCTTAGAAATTGTCATATTGCTTCTCTTACTTTATAGATGAAGTGACAGGGTCACAAAAAGACAAGGGGTGTGCCCGGGGCCATTCAGCTGGACATCCAGCCGTGCTCTCCCAGTTACACCTCTGCTGTGTAATCCTCTGGGCCTCTGCCATGTGTGGTTTTTCTTTTTTAAAGCTGCTTAGAATGGTGAGGGTCCTCTGCTGAAGCCTTACAAGGAGGAAGTCGTGTCTTGGGGGGTGTCCTGGGTGCCTCTGTTGCGCAGATAACAAGTCCATAGAAAGCTGAGCTGTAAATGTGCTTTGTTTTGAAATGGCTCCTTATAACCCAGTGAGGTCTCCAATGCTGTTCCTAATATAGTCCATTAAATTTGAGTGAGTTTCGGAGTGCTCCTCAGTCAGAAGGGGTTCCCTGTTGGCCTAGGACAGAGCATGTGTGGGCAGTAATGGTAGTGAAGTAATAGATTCCTAGGACTAGTTTCCAGAGAGACATAGGAGCTTTCCTTTGTAATAGTTTTACTTAAAACACGTTCATAAGTGCGTTCTTGTATCTGGCTATCAGAAAGATTTCCAAGAGCAAAAATTTTGTACATCTCCAGAAACGTGTGGGTTACACTCTGGAGTCCTTCCACGATTTCTCCCTCTGGTGTTTACTTACCCCCGTGATTGGCTAAACTTACCCTGTTTGTGAGGGTGGTACTAGGGGGAAGGACTTAACACATAGAAAAAGAATTTGTAAAGAGATGGTACCTGGGTTTTTGTCTTAGAAGTACAGGTTAACTGTTCAAGATTATGCTTAACGTATTTTATTTAGAAAAAAACCCACCACTAGCACCAGCAAGAAAAAACACTGTAAAGATGATTTTGCTTCTTTGTTTTCTATAAAAGTTTTTTTTGGCACTCTATTATTGAAAACTTCTGAATGAAGTCAGTTGGTCAGTTTTATTTCTTTATTATTTTCTTAAAGATTTTATTTATTTATTTGACAGAGAGAGACACAGTGAGAGAGGGAACACAAGCAGGGGGGAGTGGGAGAGGGAGAAGGAGGCTCCCTGCCGATCAAGGAGCCCTACGCGGGGCTCGATCCCAGGACCCTGGGATCATGACCCGAGCCGAAGGCAGATGCTCAACGACTGAGCCACCCAGGCACCCCGAGTTGGTCAGTTTTAAAACTGCTTTAAGTTTACTTGGGGTTTTCATTCTAGGGATAGTTGTTACAGCTCTGGCAGTCAGAGGCAACTTGTTTTGCTAATGCTATTCAGGCAGTCATCACACAGAAAATGAGGGCTTTTGCACGGGAGCATAAAAGGCATTTTAGTATATTTTAGATTTTTCAGCTTGTATTACTCTGTACTTTATAACGCTCTTTCATTAGAATGGAAATACAAATTTTAAACTTTTGTTTTCATTTCAAGATTTAATATTAACCTTTGTGAGAAGTATGATATATGCAGTCTTAATAGAGAAGTTGGCTCTTTCGGGATCTGGAGATAATTTATGGGGCGATGTCAGCGTACCTGGTAGTAAGTCAGAGCAGCAGTTCAGCTGTGCTTCATCTCTGCCCTCTGGGTGGGGGCGTCACGGAGGCAGCAGGCATTCCACACGGGTGTTCAGCTGGGCTACAAAACTGAACCGCAGAGAAGGCAGTGACTTGTGTCAAGTCAGTCAGTGAGCTCCAGGCACAGCCCGCGTTTGCATCCCGATCCGGTGTTCTCCCTGTTCTTGCCTGTGCACGCAGCAGCCCCTCTGGGGCGCAGTTCTGGGCGGGAGGGGGGTGAGAGCAGGAGCTGAGGGACTGAAGATGCAAACTCTTAAGTTGTTTCCAGCCTTTCTCTGTTTTTTTAGTTTTCCTAATTCTGGCTGGGGAGTTTGAATATATGGATTTTATGCTAATTTCTTCTTTTTCTTTTTCAGTTCAAATTAAGGAAAACCTATATCCTGCTTCTTTCTGTAAGCAGCATCTAATTGTGCAAAAGATCAGTCATGCAGCCACCTCCCCAGGCAGCCCCATCCGGTGTGGTTGGGCCACCTCCAGCTGGGACTCCTCAGAGCATGTTCTGGTCCAACAGACCATATAGGAGACAGGCAAATAATAACGCACCCGTGGCTCCGATAACTTGCCCACTGCAGCCGGTGACGGATCCATTTGCTTTTAGTAGACAGGCGCTACTAAATACATCATTGGGCAGTTCGTCCAAAAGTAGCCCACCCATTCTGCAAGGCCCGGCCCCACCAGCGTTCCTTCAGCGCACCGGTCTGCCTATGCCTCACACAAATGCTGGGGATACCCTCCAAGGACCAGTGTCACAGCCCAGAGCAGATGGCAGTCTGTTTTCCAGTGTGCTGACCCCTTCAACTCCATCGGAGCCCGAGGTGAACAGGAGTGCCGAGGTTGCTTCCGGCTCAGAACCCGAAGTTCAGACTCTGCCATATCCTCAGTATATTCCAGGAGCGGGTGTTGACAGTTCTCACGGGGGCCATCCTCACACGAACATGCTTGGGCCCGATAGGCCCCTGAGTAGGCAGAACCCGCATGACAGTGCTGCAGCATTAGCACCATCCCCTTTCTTCCCTCAGCCTCGTCAGCAAATGCCAGGGCAGTGGGGACCAGGGCAGGGAGGCCCACAACCCTCAGGTCAACATTATTGGCCCCGCCCAGAAGGACCTGTTCAGAACGCGGTGCCTCACGCCTCCAGCATTTCTCACTTCCCTGCTCCGTCCAACCCACATCATGGTCCTGGCCACGAGCAGCTCAACCCACTGGTGTGTTTGCCAGGACCCTTAGCCAGTGATGGAAGCAACGAGGCGGCCTACCTACAAAGTGGAAACCATTCAACAAATAACTTTGATCCTGAAAATGCGTTCAGGCAAAATTCTAGAGCTGGGAATACTCGGGCGAGCCAGGAGCTCAGGCCAAATCCAGGAGTGAATAAAGAGCAGTTGCCAGACCTCGCTCTCGTTAATCCCCTCGCTCAGGGAAATAGCCCAGAAAGCCATTTGCACTACCCCCCAGGGGCCGGGACCAGCCGAGCCCTGTCAGAAGTGGACTCTGGGGCTCTCTGCATGTTTTTCCAAGGTGGGGAAACAGAAAATGAGGAGAATCTCTCCTCTGAAAAAACAGGCTCTGCTGGTCAGTCTGACTTCGACGGCTTCTCCCCCAGCCCCGCGCTTGGTCATCCTCCTGCACATGTGGGAGCAGGTGGCATTTACCAGGCCTTTCCCAAAGGTTCCACCAATGAGGCCACGCAGCAGGGAGGACTCCCACAACCTTGTTTTTCTCAGTCTGCAGGCGCCCAGCCTGATCGGCCCCCGGCAGCAAGCGCCGCCGCCGCCGCCGGTGCCGGGTGGGGCAGCACAGCAAGGGCAGGGGCGCGCACGGCCAGCAGCGTGCAGTCTGAGAATGTGGAAGACCTAGAATTCATTCAAAATCAGGAAGTTCTGCCAAGTGAGCCCCTGAGTTTGGACCCTTCCTCCCCAAGCGATCAGGTCAGATACGGGCCCCTTCCCGGGCCAGCCGTCCCTAGGCTTGGTGGTGTGGGCCACGCTGGAGGTGGGGGCCCAAATCTCGAGGCCCCGGATTCAGCGCTGCACCCTGTGCGGTCTGATGGAGCGTCAGCCGGTTACAGCAGCAAGAACCACAGGAATCTCCCGAGTGCAGCCAGGCCCCAAGAGGTAGGCACTTTCATTCAGCAGGAAGTTGGAAAACCTGAAGATGAGTCTTCGGGGAGTTTTTTTAAGCAAATTGATTCTTCTCCTGTGGGAGGAGAGACAGACGAGACCACCGTGAGTCAAAATCACCACAGCAGCCGGTCCCAGCCCTCAACCCCAAGCCCCCCAAAACCCACTGGAATATTTCAGACAAGTGCAAATAGTTCTTTTGAACCAGTGAAATCGCACTTAGTTGGAGTAAGACCCGTCGAGGCTGATCGTGCCAATGTGGTAGGTGAGGTGAGAGGGGCCACTGCCCACCAGAAGCAGCGTGGGGCTGCTGCTGCCCGACCCGACGCCTCCCCCGGCAACCTGGAGCAGCCGCCGGACAACATGGAGACCCTGGTCACGCTCCAGGCCCGTTCTCCACCCTTCTCCGTCCCTGTGGAGCCTGGCCACGGGCTCTTGCACAGCGGGGGACCGCCCTTGGAAACTGTGCTCCTGGCGGCGGAGAAAAGGCCTTTGGCCAGAGCCCAGGGAGCTTTGAAGTGTGAGAGCCCAGTGACGACGTTGTGGGCACAGAACGAGCTGCCAGATTTTGGAGGCAATGTCCTTCTAGCCCCGGCTGCTCCTGTGTTGCACGTGCCTGTGAAACCCCAGCCGTCGGAAGTGATTCAGCCTCCAGATGAGGGCGTGTCCGCTCCGCAGTCCCAGGAGCCGGGCTCCGGCCTCCCTCTGCTGAGTGGGGACAGCATCTGTGCTTCTGAGAACCTTGAGAATCCTCCCAAGATGGGAGAAGAGGAGGCCCTCCCATCACAGGCAAGTTCCGGCTATGCCAGTCTGTTGTCCTCACCGCCCACTGAATCTTTGCAGAATCAACCAGTCTTGATTGCCCAGCCTGATCAAAGCTATAATTTGGCTCAGCCCATTAATTTTTCTGTGTCCTTATCGAGTCCTAACGAGAAGAATCAGCCCTGGAGAGATGCTGTGGTCAGGGATAAGCCCTCGGCAAGCAGCCGGGCTGTGGGGGGGGACTCTGGAGATGGTGCTGCTGTGTCTGGGATCACGGCTGGCGCTCTCACCCACTCACCTCTGCCTAGCAGTCTCACGCACAGTAGTTTTCCACAAGTTCCTGGTACTTCGGAAATAGTTTCTAATCAGCCTGCTAATTTGCTGGTTCAGCCGCCACCTCATCTAGTTCCAAAGAACTTGCTTTCAGAAAGCCAAAAGATTGATAATGCAGAGAACGTTCTTCCTGAGTTGGTTAGTAGCCCTGCTGGAAGCACAGGCGTGATGTTAGTGCCCCCTGCAAACGCTACCTCAGTACCTACTGGTAGTAAGGCAGATCACTCCAGTCATCGGGAAGAAACTCCTGGAGCCCCAGACGTCACACTAAATAGGACTTTGGAAAATCCTCTAAGGATGTATAGCCCATCCCATGCTGACAGCTCTGCGTGTCGGCACACCGTCAGCAGTCATCCGAGACAACCTGGGCCTGGGCCACATAACTCAGACCATTTCTACCAACAGGTGACAAAAGACGCTCAGGACCAGCGTGGCCTAGAGAGAGCCCAGCAGGAGCCAGCACCGCCTCTTCCACAAGGGCCCAAAGCAACGTGTTCAGAAACTTCAAACCCAGGAAGTCCACCCTTGCAGGGACAGCCCCAAAACTTGGTCCCACCACCCGCAAGCCCAGCTCCAGCTGACACAGGTCAGCCGCTGCCGGCCCGGCCACCTCGGTCCTCCAGCGCATCGGTCGTGTCCACCAGCTCGAGCCAGGCAGCCATGCGGTCGGACCAGCACTGGCTGCAGCCGCCTCTTCCAGACTTGACATCTTACTACTATTACAGACCCCTGTACGATGGCTACCAGTCCCATTACCCCTCGCCATACCCGGTGGAGCCTGGCCCGGCCCCCCTCTATTACCAGGTACGCTCAAGCTCTTGGGCTTGAATCCTGTGACCAGTGGTTCCTTTCTCTCGAGCTGTGCTCCTTGGCAGGCTTTTGTTGCTCAGCGCAGAAGTAAGTAGTGCCGTCACCGTGCAGAGTGCCGGTTCCAGGCGCCGCTGCGTGAGGCAGGCCCCCCGCTCACGGAGCTCGCTCTGCCCGGTGCGGCCCGTCTCTTGGAAGTTTACTCTGCATGCCTGTGTATTGCATTGCGTGCAATACCTGATTCATTTTTTCACGTGGCATCCCCCAACTTACATGGCTGAGAAGCCACCTGTTCCCTGTCCCACCGGTGGCTTCTCTGTAGAACTTGAGTTGTGGGTTGCACACTTTGGGAAACTGGGATAGCCTCTGCAAGCTTCGGTGTGGTTTTGATGTGAAAAATCTACCTGACGAGTAACAGGAAGTATAGTATTTGAAGTCCCTTTTCAAGAATAAAAACATTTAGAGAAAATGTTAGGTTTGGAATATAATCCTAGCAAAACAGCCAAGGGGGATGAAATTCCATAACCTCCTTGAGGGGCAGCAGCGGGGTGGGGGCGGCCACTGTGCTACGCGGAAGCCTTGCCCTTCACCGTGGCCCAAGTGCACGAATGTTGTTTAAATTGGGTTCTGTTCAGTCCTGTTACTTTGAAACCATATGGTTCAAGCGTACACATTGGAACGCTGTCTGCTTCTTGTGACTTGGAGTCCCAGCCCAGCATCACCCAAAGTAGCTGAGTTCACAGGAGTGTGGACCTCAAGTTTGAAAAGCACGGTTCTGCTGGGCAGGGGGGTTGGCCGTCCTGGGGCCCTTGCAGTCAGAGGCGGCTGGGTGTGCAGGGCTGGTGGGGTTGGGCCAGGCGGCAGCCCCCATTGACAGGAGGCTTGGGTCTCCTTTGTAGGCTTTTGGCATCTTTGGGAACGTATGAATGTATGAATAGTGCACAACTAAGCACTGAGACCAGCAAATTCCAGATTCTGGAAGGAGCCCCAAGGACTCCTGTTGCCACGCACCGAAATTGATTTTCGATGCGCCCAGAGCCCACGGGGGCTGGCAGAGCGTGAGGGGAGCAGTGTACCGCTTTGGGTCCTTTGTGTAGCAACTCCGTGTGCCTCCCAGGAGTTCCAGCCGGAGCCCAGCACGCTTCCGTGGGCGCCCGCCCCCTGCTGCCCTTTGGCCTTGTTGCCACAGCCTGCAGCAGTGGTCAAGAATAAGTCTGTTTGACGTGATTTCTCCTCTTCAGGTGATGGCAGAGAGTCAGGCTCGTAGACCAAAGGGCTGATTCTGTCTCATGCCTGGATCGCCTCATCTCTGCTTCGGGTCTGCGCATGGCCGCTCCTTAGAGACAGAGCCGTGGCCATTCATCAGTCCGTTAATGGAGCCGAAAGCCTCATGAGAGTAAAATGTGATCCTCTCTTTGAGGCTTCCCCTGGCTCCAGGACCCACTGAGATGAAACCCTGGTTATTTTGCTTACCTGAGATGGTGTCTGAAACAGAACACAAACTTGTGGGGTCATCGCATCTCCACATTCGAGACTTCAGGGACTAGAAGCCTGGCAGAGCCCTCGAGAGTCTCCATGGTTCCGTAGGGTTTGCCGCTGACACATTGGCCATCTCCTGAGCAGGAGCAGGGCAGTCCCTTTGAGGAAGATCCTGCCACCTGCCTGTGGCTGTGGATTTCAGATTGTAGGCTTTCTGTTGTGCATGAGGGAAGCCCCACGTCCAGCGCTCCTCCTAGAGGGCCATCATCAGTGCCGTTTAGAGCTAGTGCTGGCTGCTCGACATGCTGTGTCTCTGCTGGTCTCTAACGTCGCACAAACCCTTCTTCCGGCAGGACGTCTATGGCCTGTATGAGCCCAGGTACAGGTCCCACGACAGTGCAGCGTCTGCCTATGCTGAGAGCTACCGCTACGCCGAGCCTGAGCGACCCAGCTCCCGAGCAAGTCACTGCTCAGACCGGCCACCTGCCAGGTGATGGACGTCCGTGTTGCTGGCTGTGGTAGTAACTTACTGATCTGAGGAAGACTGTACTCGTAAAGAGCTATACCAGCCTATCCTGTGTTTGTGTTTACTCAGCACGGGCAGAGCACAGGAGCACTTTGAAATGGAACAGGGCCCCACCCCCACCCTACCCCCAAAGCCACCTTGTCCTGTCCGCCAGTGCTGGGTCAGGGCAGACTCTTGGCGGGGTCCTCTTGCGGCCAGCTGCTCCTCCTACGGCCAAGGCGCGCACGTGGCTCTGGCATTTGGCTGACTGGGTGTTCAGGGCCCTTAGACTGGGGCAGCTTTGCCCGTGCAGACGCTTCCCTACTACTAACCGCAGAGGTGCTTGATTATTGGGCCAGAACACCTGCCCACGTCCCCTTCGCAGCACTGCCCCTGTGGCGGAAGGCCCCCGCACACCTCCGGCCTGCTGCTCTCTCTCGCTGACCAAGCACGTCTCGTTCTGTGATTATAGATGAGGGATTCTCTTTTTAAGATTTATTTATTTATTTTAGAGCGAGAACACAGAGGGAGAGAGAATCTCAAGCAGACTCCTTGATAAGCACAAGAGTCGGACGCAGGGCTTGATCTCCTAACCCTGAGATCATGACCTGAGCTGAGATCAAGAGTCAGACATTTAGCCAGCTGAGCCACCCATGCGCCCCTGGGTGAGGGATTTTGGAAGATCACGGGCGTCACGCCTTCAGCCAACTAGGAGCTGAGGCGGGTCCCAGCCCCCACTCGGAGCCGCAGGGTGTGCGGCCTGTTCCCGGGTACGACCTTGCCTGCCTTCCAGAGCCTTGACCTGTACTCGCTCATCGTCCGCTTGGAGGAAGGATGGGTCACAGGTGTAGGTTTTGTTACAAGAGTACATGGTTTCTTGAACTTGTAGTAGAGGAGGTCTGATTGCTGATGGAGACTTTGTGCGTGCATTGCCTTTCAAAATCTTGGGGTCCTGTTGCTGGTCCTTCAAGGCTTTGATAGCTTGTCTGGAGACAAGGCTCTGTCTCTGTGAGCCTTTGCCTGTTGAGCTGGCCTCTCTGTGCATTCCTGACCTGCACGTGGCCCATACTTCTAGGAGCTTTATGTAAGAAAGTTCCCGAGGGTTTAGCTCCTGTATGGCACCTAGAAGGTGAGGTTTTCTGAAGTTAAGTGTTCTGACTCAGGGAAAGCAACAGGCAGGTGATTTCTAGAGCCCCGTAAGCACGGGGGAGGGTGCAGCCAGCGCACATCTTGCCATTCCAGTTTTCTGTCTGCTTGCCCACCTGCAAGTTAATGTGGTACTTCATTCTAAGAGGCCAAGAATTCAAGGTGGCCCCGTGCTGTTGAAAAGTCATCCAACCAGAGGCTAGGCCAGGTTACACGGGAGTGGTTCTGTCCCGTCTTGCAGTGTTTCTGTTCTCGTGCTGTCTTCACCGCTCACTTGTGACACCTCTGGAGAACACCCTGTCCTTCCTGCCCTGCTTCGGTTGGGGGGCGGTGTGTGCTTCTGCCTGGTGTGAGCGCATCCCTGCAGGAACTGCCTGCGGTGGGAGCATGTCTTTCATTTGTGTGGCTGTGTCTTTGCTGATGGATGAATGGGCCTGGTTGGTGAGGGCGGCGAGGAGGTGGCATGCTCTTGGTCCTGCCCTGTGTCAGATCATTGTTCTGAGCCCACTGCAGGTGTGCTCAGGGGCCCCCACTCTGCAGATAGGTGGGGTCTAAGGGTTCTCCTCCAAAGCCCTGGGAAGGGCCCTTGTTCCTATAGCTGAGCCATGGGAGTGGGTGCTCCTCACAGGCCGCCTCTGCCCCAGGAGCTGTGCCAGCCAAGCCCCCAGGCTCAGCTGGGTGACATTCCTGAAGGGACATGAGAAAAGTTACATTTTAAAAGTCAAATATTGTCGGGCACCTGGGTGGCTCAGTTGGTTAAGCAACTGCCTTCGGCTCAGGTCATGATCCTGGAGTCCCGGGATCGAGTCCCGCATCGGGCTCCCTGCTCGGCGAGGAGCCTGCTTCTCCCTCTGACCCTCCCCCCTCTCATGTACTCTCTCTCATTCTCACTCTCTCAAATAAATAAATCTTAAAAAAAAAAAAAAAAAAAAAGTCAAATATTGTCTAAAACTTGTTATTAAGAAACAAAAATGCTAGTAAGTTCTTCTAAGAATCTTACTGCCCCAGGGGCACCTGGGTGGCTTAGTTGGTTAAGCGTCCAACTCTTGATTTCAGCTCAGGTCTTAATCTCGGGGTCGCGAGATTGAGCCCCACACAGGGCTCTGGGCTGGGCATGGAATCTGCTTGACATTCTCTCCCTCTGCCCCTACCCCTCTCCCCACATTCACTGTGTCTACACGCTCACCCTCTCACTTGCACTCACTCTATTGGAGGGAAAAAACAAGAATCTTACTGCCCAGAAGTTCTGACAGCTGACCTTGCTAAGTTCTGCTTTCTGTGCGCTGACAGTCAGACTTGTAGCTTGGTCTTTGAGGCTGGTCTCAATCAGGCGCGCTTCAGGTCTCATACCGGTCACATTCAAGAGACTGACACCAGGGGCTGAGCCAGCCGCAGCCCTGCACCTGGGCGCACACCGTCCCGCGTCCAAAGGACACAGCACGTGGTCTGTGTGGATGGGTTTGACAGCTCAGTGCGTTTTGCTCCTGCTAAGTGTGATACCAGAAACTTGAGAACCTATTTGGGCCTTGCCATGCAGGACACAGTGCTGAGCACACAGAGGGCGGCCAGCTCGTTGATTCTGCATGGCACTTAAATAGGTATTTAAGAGATGGATTTTAAAGATTTTCTTTATTTGTTTGTCAGAGAAAGAAGGGGCACAAGTTGGGGAGCTGCAGGCAGAGGGAGAAGCAGGCTCCCCGCCGAGCAGGGAGCCCGATGCGGGGCTCCATCCCAGGACCCTGGGATCATGACCTGAACCGAAGGCAGACGCTTCACCGACTGAGCCACCCAGGCGCCCCAAGAGATGATTTTTAATTAGCTGTGTGGGAGGGGGTCCCATCATCTCCTTGTTACTGTTTCGGATCTGCCGATGAGTGTTTTTTCATGACCAGAGCGTTTTGCTGAGTGTCCGATGCTCTGGCAATCACATGTACGGCCTTACGTCTTGTCCTAGTCTAAGAAGCGAGTAGGTGAGTTTTTTTAACCGTGTGGTGTGTGCTTTCAGGCAAGGGTACCCCGAAAGTTACTACAATTCCAAAAGTGGATGGAGCAGTCAGAGTGACCACTATGCGGATTATTACTCCGGCCAGTACGACTACGGAGGTACGTTCAGGATTCTGCACGGCTGACCGCTGGTGCGTCCCGGTGCGCAGCTGCGCTCTGTGATCGTTTCTTAGGAGACTTCCCCGTTTGTTAGTCCTCGTATGTTTTTAATCCAAGAGCCGAAGTAGTTGAAAATAATCTGTGCCTGGAAATAATTATATTGCTATTTTTCATTAGGAAATTACGATTTGGTTTAGTGTTAATGTCTCTTTATCACATTAGTAGTTTCCTTTGACTTTCTAGCAAAGCGTCGTGAGTAGTTCCAGAGCGGCCTTGTCCATATGTGACTACTTAAATTGATTAAAATAAATAAAATGGAACACCAGCTCCTGGGTCGCACTGGCCACGTGTGGTGTGCCAGTGACCTCCTGTGGCTGGCCCCGACTTGCGCGGTGTGGACGTCAGATGTCCCGGCCGTGCCAGGTGCTGCCTGCCGGTCTTGACGCGCTCCTACTAGGCAGCGCGTGCCCGTCGGTGGCCCTGCCGCGCCTGCTGTCCGGTGCTGGGCAGGGTCCCAGGCCCGCAGCCTCGCAGGCATCCCGGCACAGCCGCCCCGTCTGCTGCTTCCCACAGGCCTCTTTCCTTTCTACGATTGTACTGCTGTAGACGTAAATTCTGCTCATACCTGCCAAAAGTGGGACTTCTAGTTTATAATATTAATGTATATTTTTAAAAATATTTTAGTTTTGGGGTATTTCTTAAAACTTTCTGGGTCACGTTAGAAGACACACGAGGGAAATTTGTAGTCCCAGGATTAAGTGTTAAAAGGTCGTGACTACGAACGAAATTTTAACAAAGATGACCTTCTAGCGTGTTTTGGGGTTCTTTTTAATCACGTGTGTTGAGAGAACAGCCAGGGGCCGTTAGGTGTTACACGTAATAAATAGGCGGGATACCACCCGGCCCCTCTGTCTCACAGTTAACACTCTCCCAGGGCATGCCGATTTGTGGGAGGAAGGTTTGGTTCGTCTAAGAGCCTGGAGGCATGCTTCAGTCCTGGGGTGGTGTGGTCTCTCCAAGGGCCAGAGGAGAGTCTTCCCTTGCCTGCTGTAATCAACCCTGAATCCCCCGCTTACAGACCCAGGTCGCTGGGACCGGTACCACTGTGCTTCCAGATTCAGGGATCCCCGCACCTGTGACCGGAGGTACTGGTATGATGCTGAATACGATGCGTACAGGAAAGAAAACTATGCTTATGGCGACAGGTTGGTACAGTGCACTTTGATAAGAAGGGTTGCTCATAGCCAGAGCTTTGCTCCTGCGTCTCTGGCCTCGTGTCTGTCATTTACCCGAGCTGCACTTGTGTTTGGGATCCTGGTGAGCAGCTGACACTGGGGTCACTGTCTGAAAGAGAAGGATGAGCCAGGCCCTCCTGGCAGTTTCCACTTGGGCTGTTGGAGGGGAACTGGCCTCGGCACAGGTGCTGGAAGTCGGCTCCTCTTCTTCTTGGGTCTGGGAGAGGCGTGGCCGCACGCAGCGTGAACTTGAAGGATGTTTCTCCAGATCTGAAGGCAGGGATTTGAACTTGGGCTTGGGATGTGGCCACTCTGCCAAGGGTAGGCTCTGACTGGTCTTCTGAGGGTCACCACCCTGGTGGGGTGGTGACGACATGGTGGGGCCTCACTGTGGGGTAGCAAAAGGCCGTCGTCCTGGAGTCACCCACCCACACTCCCCTTTCCTCGCCTCTGTCCCTGTTTCCACCAGGCCCGAGAGGTACGATGACCCCTGGAGGTATGACCCTCGCTTCACTGGCAGTTTTGACGACGACCCCGAGCCCCACAGGGACCCTTACGGGGAAGAGGTGGACAGGCGCAGCGTGCACAGCGAGCGCTCAGCCCAGAGCCTGCGCAGCAGCTTCAGCTCCCACTCGCATCAGGTGGGGGCCCTCTCCCCCTCCCTTCCTGCGTGACCGCACGCCCGAGCCCCCACGTTGCCGGGAGTTGATTTTTCCCGTTTGCTCTATGTTTTCTCAGAGTCAGATTTACAGAAATCACGGTGTGACTGCTGTTCCCTATGAGGCCCCACACCCCCCCGGCTCCTTGCCTGGCCAGTATGCCTACGGCGCCTACGGCAGCGATTTCGGCAGTGCCCAGGGCTTCCCAGAGTACGGATACCCTGCCGACGCTGGCTGGCCCACCGCGGAGCAAGGTGTGTGTGTGTGGTTGGGGCCTGTGCTCTCGTAGGTGCAAAGGGATGTCGAGGCACACTGCTGGGGCAGCCTCCCGAGCCCCGGGTGACGGAGGGAGTAGCTTTCAGCTCGCAGGGGAGTCGGCAGTGGCCTGGCCTGGTCTTCTCTACAGAATACGACTGCTGTGAGTCGCAGAGCTTGGCACAGCGGCTGCGAGCTGCCTGGCCTGTCCACAGTGGCCACGTCAGCGAAGCTCCAAGGACAGGCTCCCTGCCAGCTTCCTGGGGTGGTGGCGCTGTGTTCCCCAGCGCTGGCCACCTGGGTAAGCAGTTTGTGTGCGGGAATTCCTGATTCCCCTTGAAAAGCTCCTGTGCGTGGACTTACCACCAGTGCCACGTTCTCAGCTCCTCTTGGAGGTGTCCCATCAAATGCTTTTCCTTAGAGGAGTGCAGCAGCGTGTGTCACGTCCTGTGGAAATCTCTCTGCACTTCAGGCATCCTGCCATCGTCGTCCTTGTCGGTGCCCCATGCCCGTCACTGCCAGGAGCCGGCCTCTGCAGAGAGCTGGGGACACGGATGCTCCGGTGGGGCCTCTGAGCAGCTGGCGGCCAGGCGCTGCTTCCGAGTAGCCTGTGCTCAGCGCACGGGGCTGTTTTAAAGAAGTTTTGTTTTAGAAGAGAATAGTTCTCGTTTTTAACAATGGAAACATTCTTCTTTTTTTTTTTTTAAGATTTTATTTATTTGACAGAGACAGCAAGAAAGGGAACACAAGCAGGGGGACTGGCAGAGGGAGAAGCAGGCTCCCCGTGGAGCAGGGAGCCCGATACGGGGCTCCATCCCAGGACCCTGGGATCATGACCCGAGCCAAAGGCAGACGCTTAATGACTGAGCCACCCAGGCGCCCCTGAAACATTCTTCTGACACATACCTAAGTTCCCCTTTTTGATGGGATATTTAATAATTATTACCTTCCAGTTGAAAGCCAGGTCATCGTGACCAGTCTAACGTAGGATTCCAGCCATATGGGCACCTTGAAAATCTGTACTGTTAATCTGGTCCAGAAGCATTTTTTTTTTTTTTAAGATTTTTATTTATTTATTTTGAGAGAGAGAGACACACACAGAGCATAAGCAGAGGGAGAGGGAGAAGCAGACTCCCCGCTGAGCCGGGAGCCCGACGTGGGACTCGATCCCAGGACCCTGAGCTGACCTGAGCTGAAGGCAGACACCCAGTCATCTGAGCCACCCAGGCGCTCCTGGTCCAGAAGCATTAAAAAGTGACAAGCTGATTGTTTCTTTCTCACTTTATTTAAATGTAGCTCCATCAAGACCAACTTCTCCTGAGAAGTTCTCAGTGCCTCATGTCTGTGCCAGGTTCGGTCCTGGGGGTCAGCTCATTAAAGTGATTCCAAATCTGCCTTCGGAAGGACAGCCTGCATTGGTTGAAATTCACAGCATGGAGGTAATTGCGTGAGTAGAAATTCTGCATCGCAGGACAGCCCTCTGAATAAGTGACCTTGGAAGATGTTTTTTTCCCATGAATCTTTAGTTCATAGGTTTTTTTGTTGTGCTGGGTCGTTTCTCCCCTCAGAGGTCAGGACTTTGAGTACCTGCGTCGGGTGTTACGTTAGACTTCGTTTCATTGCATATTCATTTTGTCTTTATTCGTGTTTCTGGTTTAGCAGGGAGGACCCTGCTCGTGTTCATCTTGTGGCTTTTGGTCACGGGTAGAGGAGCTTTGTGATCTGGTGGCAGGTGGGGTGGGGGGCCCTGTTCTGTGGGCCTGGCAGGCCTCTTCTGTGCATGTATTAGGGCCCTGCCTCAGTTGGAGGGGAGACGTAGAGTTTGAAAATCACGGCAGTAAAGCAGGCAGGCCGGCACGCTGTGAGGGCGTGGGGGTCCAGGGAGCCGGTGGATGCGCACCTGCCCCCCATGAGCTGCTCTCTCTCTGCCCCCACCCGTTGCGCCTCAGACCCTGCTGCAGCACATGCCGGAGCAGAAGGAGCTGCGCTCGTTCCCAGGACCACTCGGCAAGTACGTGCCCGTCCAGCAGCCCACGTCCAGCAGCCCACGACGGCCGTGCGGAGGCGGCTGCTGCACCTAGCCTCGCAGATGCAGTTGCTGCTGTCCATTGAGTGTGTGTTCTTTTTTCAGAGATGACACCCATAAAGTGGATGTTATTAATTTTGCACAGAACAAAGCTACAAAATGTTTGCAGAACGAAAATTTAATTGACAAAGAGTCTGCAAGTCTCCTTTGGAGTTTCATTGTTCTCTTGTGCAGACAGAACGGGGTAGGTTTCCTGTTGGCCTCCGTGTCCCGTCTCTCCCCCCCCCCCCCCCCGCCCAGTGGATTTGGGCGGGATTTCTGTGCCAAGCTGTGGGACGGGAGCAGCATCCCTATCCAGGCGCTCCCTCAGGAAGTGTCTTGGTGGTGGTTTCGGGGAGGGGAACTCAAGGGCGTGTGGTTGGGTCCGCCTCTGTCAGCCTGTCGGGTCGTCTGTGGTCTGTCCGTCCTGCTCCTGGCCAGGTCGTGAGCAGTGGCTTGTGCGTGTGGGAGTTTCACGTGCCCATTTGAGGAGTCCTGTTGGGGGCCTCACCCGTCCCGGCACCCCCGCAGTAAGTTCCGTGTGAGGTGACGCGCTTTCTTCTTCCTGCCCCCGCGGCCCCTGCAGACCGTGGTGGGAACAGACCTCGCGGAGCTTTTGTTACGAGACCACAAAACCGCGTGGCTTCCTGGGAAGTCACCCAACGAGGCCAACCTGATTGATTTCACTAACGAGGCCGTGGAGCAAGCGGAGGAAGAGGAGTCCGGGGAGGCCCAGCTCTCGTTCCTCACTGACAGCCAGGCAGCTGGCAGCAGTGCCCTTGAACGGGAGACCGAGAGGTTCCGGGAGCTGCTTCTGTATGGTCGCAAGAAGGTGAGGCCCTGCGCGGGCCCTGGCGTGCACGGTCCTGCCCTCGGGCGCGGCGGCACCCTGAGCCGGCGCCGCGGGCTCGTTCTGTGAAGGGCATCTGGCGTCCAGAGTGCCTGCTCCCGGTAGCAGAGCTCCCTTCCAGGGGTCGCCAGGGTGGTAGACTTGCCTGTGCTCGGCCGCGCCCCTGCTGCCTATACTTCTCAGGGACAGACCCGTGCGCAGGACAGAAAGCCGGCTGTCCTCGCGCAGTGAGGCGTGCGTTCACCATCTCTTCAGCGGGGTGGGCGCTGGGTGGGCGCCAGGCCCTGCAGGCCACAGAGCGCGTGCGCTGGGGGAGCTCCCCGGGACTGTGCAGGCCCAGGGATGGCCGCGCCTGCGCTCTGGCGGCTGGGCTCTCACGGGCCCGGAGTTCTTAGTTCTTTGATGTCATGTTGTGCTCCGGAAGCTCGTATTTGGTAAACAAACAGTCTTCACGTGGACATCGTACGACGGATCGGAACTGTAGACTCTGTCAGGTTTGCTTAACGTTTCCTCCACCGCGACACGTCCATCTCCTTGAGGAGGCTGTCCTCTTGACTGCGACCCCAGATGATTCTGGACGCAGGGGAGGCCGCGTTAGTAAAGGCTCTGTCCGTGTTGGGATGGTGTTCGTGGAGGCCTCATGTGTCGTTCTGGAACTGGGGATGCTTGCCGGTGGCGTTGCTCACAGTGGAAGGGACAGTCCGAGGCGGCAGGACTGCTGCTCGCTCGTCCTTGTTCCTCATCCGTGTGCTCCTTCCGTACGCTGGCTGCTTGCTAGCAGATACCAAAGCAGCAAAGTCTTCGCAGACCCGCTGCCACAGGGACTTTGCAACTAGGGCAGATTGGGAGAAGCGGGCTTCTCCATCTTGTCTGAACCGGGCGCATGTGTTGGCAGGCCCGTGATTCACACCTCCCTTCACGTGCACTCCGGCCCCTCTCCCCTGCCCCCCCCCACCATGTGTAACGACACACGGGCTGTTGCTTCTGCTCACGTATGTCACCGAAGTTGTTCTGATAACTCAGGTAACCACTAAAATGCTTTGCAGGATGCTTTAGAGTCTGCGATGAAAAATGCCTTATGGGGTCATGCTCTGTTACTTGCAAGTAAGATGGACAGCCGGACACACGCCCGCGTCATGACCAGGTAGAGAATCTTGCTGTGTAGACTGTTTCTGGGCACGTCGTGCTGGCCCAGTTGCGCTGCCTGGGCAGCTCTTGGAAGCGCAGTGGCCTGCAGCCCTTGTCACAGAAAGCTGGGGCGTGTTCTCTGCACCATGCTGCTGTCCCACTGCCTCGGGCTTGCTGGGCCCTCTTCCCTGCTGTTGGACCGCTGAGGGCTTTGGAAACATTTTCTTAACTGCAGAGTTGTCTGTGCTTTGTGAAACCATCACGAATTCCTTAGTCTTTATTTCCTTTATTCTTTTGTTCAACTACTGGGCTTTGTGCACTTTGCCTGGGCCGGGCACCCACCCGACGGTCATCAAAGGGCCAAGATGAAACCGGGCTTGTTTCTGCTTGTCTTTTAAAAACAGGGCCGACTTAGCTCTTTCTCTCCTCGTATCTGCCTAGGTTCGCCAACAGTCTTCCGATCAACGACCCTCTGCAGACAGTGTACCAGCTAATGTCGGGGCGGATGCCTGCTGCGTCCACGGTCAGTGTGCGGGGGCTCCCCAGGGTCCCCGCAGCCCTGCTGCCTGTCCGGGCTCGCTCCTGTGACAGGTTGCCTCCCGAGGCCGCAAGGTCTGCGCTCTCTCTCGTTCAGGCTTCTGCGTTGTGCTCTGTGAGCTCACCCGTGACGAGATAAAAGCGACGCTCTCTTCAAGCATAAGGGTTTATTTGGTTTTGCTTTTTTCTGACCTCAGTGTTGCGGAGATGAGAAGTGGGGAGATTGGAGGCCACATCTTGCTATGGTTTTGTCCAACCTGAGCAGCAACGTGGATGTGGAGTCCAGGGCGATGGCCACCATGGGCGACACTCTGGGTAGGTCAGATGCAGGCGCGGGCATGGAGGTGGGGGCGCCCAGCACGCCTGGGCATGAGAGCCGCTGTTGGGGTGTGGAGGGCCACGGGGCTTTTCCATTTGTGTGGCCTCTCTGGTGTTTGCTGTCCACGTGTTGAGATTTCTGGTAGAACTCGCAGTCACTGAGTCTTGGTCTGCTTTATGTTTCCTCAGCTTCAAAAGGTCTCTTAGATGCTGCACACTTTTGCTACCTCATGGCCCAGGTCGGGTTGGGGGTTTATACAAAGAAAACCACAAAACTCGTCTTAATCGGATCGAACCACAGGTGAGGAACGTCCAGGTATCTGTTTTCCTTTAGAAAGGAAACATCCCTCCATCAGCTAACCCAGAAACGGCGCACACGCACCCGGTGGCAGCAGCCTCCCACCTTGATCGCAAGGTGTTGATCACGTGGCGTGACGTGGTTCTGGGTGCCTTGCTCAAGGATTAAAATTCTTTCCTCAACAGTTTACCGTTTTTAAAGTTTGCAACCAATGAAGCTATTCAGAGGACAGAAGCCTATGAATATGCCCAGTCTCTTGGGGCACAGACCTGCTCCTTCCCCAATTTCCAGGTAAGCTGGAGCCACGCTGGTCCGTGGTTTTTACGAGTGGGGTGGTCAGTGCTAGCAAGTCTTTGGTTGTTGAGGGCTTTTGAGCTCTTACGCAAAAAGTGGTAGTGTTTTTGGAAATCTTAGGGAGACATCTGTAATGCTTGAGAAGTAAGCCCTATTGAATTGAGAATTTCCTTTGCATTTAAAATGTTTCTTGAGTATGTGGTTTCCAGTACTTTCTACGGTTTTTAGTGTCTTGGGGAGAGTGTTATCTGATCTGGGGGCGCGTGGGTGTAAACATTGTGTAGTGCAGTGTTAGTGGGGACGGCCGTCCTGCCCTGCTGGCTGGCCCGGGCGCTCGTGGTGACGAGCCCCTCGTGACCAGCCTCGTAAGCGTGTTGAAGAGGAAAAGTGAGTTTCTAAGAAGCTTGGTTGCAACTTTCATCTAAAAGTGCTCTGGGAACGGGGCTCAGTGCTGTGGGACGGCTGGGGGACACGTGAGGTGCACAAGACGTCGGAGTAGCTCCAGCTTGGGGGCCTGTCGGGTGACGCAGGGGCTGGGGAGGCACGTCGGGATGACTGTGCTGCGCTCCCCTGTCCCAGGTGTTCAAGTTTATCTACTCCTGCCGCCTGGCTGAAATGGGGCTGGCCACACAGGCCTTCCACTACTGCGAGGTGATTGCCAAGAGCATCCTGCTGCAGCCCCACAAGTACTCGCCCGTGCTCATCAGCCAGCTGGTTCAGGTAACGTCTTCTCGAATGTCCTTCCAGCAGCATTTACCCCATGGGCGCATCAGTATCACTGGACTTGGGGACTGAGCTGTGACCATGTAGACACTCGGGGCTTCCTTCTTCAACAGCTTAGAAATTCAGGTGTTCTTGGGCAGGTATTGGGTGTTTTGTGTGTTAGCTTAGGAAGTTTTCAGAGACCTCACCCCACTACAGAAGCTGGGCCGTAAGCTTTGAAGGAAGAAGGACCCCATCTCCAGGAAACTCACTGTGGGGCGGTTGAATCTAGCGGTTAACAGCCTGAGCTTCCGGAGTCCAGCAGCCTGGGTTGGGGTCCAGGCTGTTCCAGTGCCAGCCTCGGTTTCTTGCTCTGTAAAACAGACACCGTGTGAGCAGCCTGCAGGAGTGAGTGAGGCACAAACAGGACAGGGCAGGCCGGTGCCCAGGGCGCGAGGATGCCGTTGTTCCCCTCCCCCGAGGAGCTTCATTCTGGGAAACGCGCTCACGTGATAACCTGAGAAAGTGTTACTGTGGGAAGTTTCAGACGTCTAGGGAAATAGAATAATTAGCAAGTCCTCCTTCCCACAGCTTCAGGAAGGAGCTGTTTACTCAAGGCCACCTGGTTTCATCGTACCCCCATCCTGCACTGTCCCCGCACCCCCCACCGCCCATCAGAGTGTTCAGCATTTTGATCAGTAAAGCCAAGCCTGTGTAGTCGATGCTGGGGGCAGCAGTCTGCTCTGGGGGGCCCGGCTGCTGGCGGCCTCTGTGCACACGGGCTGCTGGGCTCGCTAGGGCGAAGTCTGGGTCCCACGCGCCCTTTCCAGTGACTTGGCAGTACGTTCGAGGTTTCAGGGCAGGTCACCACATGCTTCAGAAACCGTATGTGATGGGAAGTATCCCACCGGACCCTGAAGATGCTTTTTGTTCCAGGTGATGGTAGGTTTTGAAAACACGGTCTTCCTTGTCATGCCAGATAGTAACAGGGCCCTTTCCTCCCTGTGTGTGTCCAGATCGCGTCCCAGCTGCGGCTCTTTGACCCGCAGCTGAGGGAGAAGCCGGAGGAGGAGGCCTTTGTTGAGCCCGCCTGGTTGGTCCAGCTGCAGTGTGTGGACAAGCAGGTCAAGGTGTGAAGTGTGCTCTCAGTCTCAGGGGACAGGATGTCAGAGACATGCTGATAAGTGTGGTTTGCGCCCCCGTCGTTTTCACACCGAGCACGTTCGGTGTGAACGGTACGATTTTAGGGGTGTGCACTTTGGTCAGAGCGCTCACGCTCCTGAGGCCCAGACACAGCGGGTCGGCGGGGTCGGCAGCGCCGTGTTGGGCTGTTGGCAATGCCTGCCATTTCTCTCCCTCAGGAGGGCGCCGCGGCGTGGGGTCGGGATGGGCCCTTCCCCCAGCGCTGTCCCAGCACCCCGAGCTCCGAGGCGGGGCAGTACGACGGGCCAGCACCCGCCCAGCCAGGGGGCCCGGGCACCGGCAATCCGCTGCTGGCGCCGCCCGTGCCCAGCGCTGAGCACTTGGGCCAGGGGGTGCGGCTGCTGCCTTCAGGTGAGCCCCGTGCGGCTGGAGAAGCAGCGGGCCTCCCGCCTTCCCCTCGCAGCCCCTGCTTCCGAACGTGGAACGTCGCCGTTCTGCCTGCAGGAGAGTGGAGGGGACACGTCCTCCCAGCACGTCAGCCTTCCCTCTCCCCGTGCTCGCTCCCTCGCTGAGCCTGTCGGGTCTGAGTGGGTGGGCGGCCTGCTGAGCCCTGGAGGGGGAGGAGGGGGGCAGGGAGGAGGGGGGCAGGGAGGAGGGGGGCAGGGAGGGCTCAGTGAACACCAAACTCTCTTTCAGGCCGCTGCTCCCCAGGTTGTGTTGGGGTCTCGTCAGGGGTCAGGGCCCAGGCCACACGTGACATTTAATGATGTCCTCCCCTTGTCCCTAAAAAGCGTATGTTCTGCTTTTCCCCAAACCATCGATGCCCTGGCATCGTCAGCACTTTCTGCTTTGATGACTGCTTCTCTCATCCCGTAACAAAAGAAACGTGGCCACACGAAGGGACACGTGATAAGCTGTTGAGTGACGCCATTTAGCTTCTTCAGGTGCCCGGAGTTAGCGCCAGTACCTGAGGCTTCTGTTCTCCGCTCTCTTGGTGCAGCTCCGCCGGCCCTCCCCGACGGCCAGCCGGCCCTCCCCGCCAGGGTGCCCTTGTTCCCGGTGCCCCCACCCCCGGGCCCTGCTGAGCTGGGGCCTGGCTGTGGACCCCCAGGGGCTGCCCTTGGCTTTCCAGAGCCCTCTGGGCCCGACCCTGCGGCTCCGTTCGCGGGGCCTGGCCTGCCACCTGGCGCACCACCTCTGCAGGGAAGTGAGCACGCGCCCCAGGAGGCCCGGAGCCAGGACCCAGGTAGGCCTGCTGCCGTGCCGTCCTGAGAGAGGAGCTCTGTTGGGTTTGGCGTTGAAGGAGGTGATTAGAACTTGAGACAGGTTCTGTTCGTCGGCGTACACGAGGGGTTCTGGAAGCCGTAGGCTGGAGGGGTCGTTGATACCAGTGCCTTGTCTTCCGGGACTCAGCTGCGTGTTGGCGTGTGGGGTGCGAGTGGGTGTCCGGGTGTGGCGGGCTGGCCGTGAGGGGAGCCCAGGCCGCAGCCTGCCCCGCAGTCCCACGTGGGGCTTCTCGCGCCTGCTGTGCGGCTCTGCGCCCTTGAACAAAGCCAGACGTACACCCAGCTTTCAGACAGAAGCGATTTCGAGAACGTCTCCGGTGCCGGACTCCGCGCACCGTGGTGGGAGGCCGTGGCCCCGTGGGAAGATGTGCTGTGTCGCGAGTGCGTCATGTCCGCTCCTGTCCTGTGTCCGCGACACGGAGACCACAGTGGGCCTCTCTTCTGTCGACAGGGGTGATGCCGCCGGAGACGCTTGGGAGAAACTCGCTTCCGGAGCTGAGAGAAGAGGGTTTTGGCGGAAATTTTGCTCCTCTGGTACTCTCCCACTCCCCCCCCCCCCCCGAGCTCTTTGTTTTCCATAAGTTGCGTTAATTAGCAGCCCGAACTTGTTGTTCTCCAGTTGTAGTCAGAGGAGAACAGTGAAAACCACAAGATTGTCCTTTAAGTTGCTCCTCAGCAGGAGAGCACGCGTAAGGTGGTGTGAACCCCTGCCGCGAGGAGGGCCGCTTCGAGGTGCACAGACGGTCCCCTGTCGGGAGGCTGTGTGGCCGGTGGTGACGTCCCCAGCACGGAGAGCCTTCCCCAGTCCTGCAGGCCTCTCCGGGCAGTGGGATCCCTGCAGCGTCACTGCTCCTCTTGAAGTTCTCATTGCGTTTCTCAGACGCGCTTGGTAGAAAGAGCGCTTCTGCTGCTGTCCCGGGAGGGACACGTGCTTTTCTGCGCAGTGCGTCCCGAAGCCGTCTTGACGCACAGTGGGCCTCCGTGGGCCTCCGTGGGCCTCCGTGGGCCTCCGTGGGCACGCCGTCGTAGGCGCTTGCTGTACTTTAAACTTCCGCTAGGCGTTCCGCCAGGACAGGGCTTTGTTCTCATGTAAAGTGAGAGGTTATGGAACACAGGGTCTTCGCTCAGCGATAAGTATCTTGAAAAGAAACAAGTCTGTGTTTTAAAATGCCCCCTCCCCTTCTGTGCCCAGCGTCACCTTGGTGCGCTCGTGTACCCCCCTTCTGCCAGCCCCGTAGTGCCCAGTGGGCCCCACCACCCCTGTGTGGAGTCCTGCCGTGCGCCTTGTGAGAGCAGGGCCGGAGGCAGGGGCAGCTGTCCCCCGCCCCCTCCCCGCTCTGCTCGCGTCACTCGCTCCTGGGGAGGTGCCCCAGGCGAGCCTGCCCCCATGTTGCCTTGGGACAGGGCTCCTCCAGGATGTCGCAGGGCCCTGAGGCCCCCCCGGGTTGGGAGTGTACCAGCTCCAGTGCTCTGCAGCCGCCGACAGCCGCTCCCGAAGTGAAGAGACCTGCGCCGGCCGCCAGGAGAGAGGCCAAGGAGCCCAAGAAGGTGACGCAGCTTCAGCAGGGTGGGGGCCCGGGGCCCGGGGAGGGGTGCAGCTCCCACAGACGGCTTTCCTCCTACGCTGGCGGTGGGGCAAAGGCATTCCAAGCGTCCGTGTCCCCACATAACCACTGGCCAGGGCACAGTTGCAGCGGGACCAGGAGGCCCCGTGTGTCCACGGCCTGTCAGAACGCACCCCCAGAGGGTGGCCTCTTCCGACTTTGGGACCTGTCCCAGAACTTCTTATAAAGGGGGTTAATCTTTAAAAACCATTGTGTCATAGTATCTGTCGTATGCAGATGCTACAATTTTACTTATCTTTTTTTTCTCAGTAGTGGACATTGGCCTTTTTTTCAGTTTGGGGTGGTCCTGTAAAAGCCACATGCGCGTTCTTCTCTGTCTTTTGTTGGTGAAAGCACTTGTTTCTCATGGGGCGTGCCTAGGGCCCAGGACAGCTGTGCGTCCAGCGTGGGAAGGTGCCACCAGGCAGTTTTCCTGGGCGGTTGGGCCAGGTGACCTTCCCCCAGCAGAGCCAGAGAGGCCCAGTCATTCCTTGTCACTGGCCTGGAGGCCCTTGTCCCCGCACACACAGGCTCGGGCCTCTCCACGGCAGCCTCTCGGCGGGGGTTCGTGGCCCTTCCTGGTGTCGCTTTGCTTCACAAGCTAGTGCGCCGAGCACCTTCCTCGTGTACCTGTTACCACCTGTGTGTTTTCCCGTGTGCTGCTGGCCTCTGAAATGTGGGCTTCACCAGTATCTTCTTGCCCCGGTCTGCGGACTGCCTTTTTACTCTTAACGTTAGTTTAGGCAGGACATGTTCTTAATTTTCATATAGTTCAGCGTATCGGATTTCATTTAACCATTAGTGTCTTTTTTTAAGATTTCATTTATTTATTTGACAGAGAGAGGGAGAGAGAGAGTGTGAGAGAGAGAGCACAAGCAGGGGGAGCAGGAGAGGGAGAAGCAGGCTTCCTGCCGAGCAGAGAGCCCTACACCAGCCTCCATCCCAGGACCCTGGGATCATGGACCTGAGCCGAAGGGACGCTTAATGACTGAGCCACCCAGGCACCCTGCGTCTTTTCTTTTTCAAAGAATTATCCATTCGTTTTAGAGAGAGAGAGAGAGCAAGCATGGGGTGGGGGAAGAGCGCAGAGGGAAAGGGACACCCAAGCAGATTCCCCACAGAGCCCAGTGTGGGGCTCGATCCCATGACCCTGAGATCACAACCTGAGCCGAAACCAAGAGTCGGACACTTAAGCGACTAAGACACCCAGGTGCCCCTTAATGATGAGCCATCGTAAGGAAACGCAAATTTTATTCAGAGTGTGCGTGAGCCTGAGCCGGACTATGACACGCTGACCAGTCGTGAGCGTGCAGACCCGTGCCGTCCTCCGCTGCGGAGCTCGGGGTGTGGGGGGTTTGAGAGCATGCGCACCTGCTGCTTCCGTGTTGGTCTGTGTTTTAGTTGAAGTATGGCCTGCAGGGATTGAAGTAAGCGTCCCTGACACCTAACTTCTCCCAGTATAGGACATGGGGCGGGGGACTGTGTTTGAGGGGGGCCCACAAGGACATTCCCAGTCTGTTGGCCACTGCTCAGTCCGGGAGAATGCCAGAGGCTGCCATTTGTTGGCATTTAGACAGGAAGAGCTCCAAAAGGCACACTGTTCAGATGTTTTAATTGTGGTAAAATACACATAAAACTTACCATTTTAACCATTTTTAAGGGCATGCTTCTGCGGCGTTAGGCGCACGCTGCTGTGTAGCTGCCCTCTCCGCCCTTCTCCAGGACTTGTCTTCTCAGACTGCACCTCGGTCCCCGTTGTACACCACCCCCTCCAGCTCCCGCGTCTGTGGGTCCGACTCCTCTGGGGCCTCCGGGAGTGGATCCTCAGGGTTTGTCTTTCTGTGCCGGGCTCAGCTCACCCAGCACCATGTCCTCAAGGTGGTTCTGATGGTTTTTGCATTTAGAGTAGTGAATCCTGGTTCTCTCGTTGGCTTCCTGGGAAAAAAAGGACAGAAGCTTATCTGCCAGACGACAAGAACAAATCGGTGAGTGTCGTGGAGGGCGGCCCTGAGGGACGTGCAGGCTCCTGCGCACGGTGGTCACCGAGCAGGCTGGGGTCTCGTCTCCCGGAGGCCGCCGTGTCGGGAGGAAGCAGGTGCTGCTTCTGCTCAGCTCTGCCTCCTGACGTCTTCTGTTACTTTTCACAATCGTGGCAGATCGTCTGGGATGAAAAGAAGAACCGATGGGTGGATGTAAATGAGCCAGAGGAGGAGGTAAGTCAGAATTCCTCGCGCTTCACTGGGCCCCGGCTCCCCGTGCCGCCTCGGCGGCTTCGGGTCCGCAGGAGGGTCTCTAAGCCGCTTTCCCTCCGCAGAAGAAGGCACCGCCCCCACCACCAACCTCGCTCCCCAAGGCTCCGCTCGCTGCGCCCCCTGGTCCTGGAGGGCCCCCGAGGGCCTCTGTGAACATGTTTTCTAGGAAAGCAGGTAACAAAGTCAAGGCGGAGACCAGAGTTGGTTTGAGAACTTGCCTGTTCTCCAGAGATACCAGAGCTTAGGGACCGTAAGTATAGGTCAGATGGAGGTCTGTCTGTCTGCAGAGGGCATCCTGGTTTTCCGGGGCAAGTCTGCAGGGAGAGCTCCCCTTCTCTAGAGCGTGAGAGCCCTGCTCAGCAGCCCCTGAGCTGGTAGCTTTGAAGTGCGGGACGGGCACCTCCCCCGGGTGGCAGCCGGGCTGTGCTGTGGGGAAAGCCGCGTTCCCGCATGCTCTTCCCGCTCGGGGAAGGGGGGCCCGGGGAGCGGAGTCATGTGGTGCGATGACCTGAATTGCTGCTTCTCCCGGCCCAGCTGGAACCAGAGCACGCTACGTGGATGTTTTAAACCCGGGGGGGCCCCAGCGGAGTGAACCAGCTCTTGCTCCTGCTGAGTTTTTTGCTCCCCTTGCCCCGCTCCCGATTCCTGCTCACTTGTTTGGACCAAACCCAGGTAGGCACCACGGGACCTTCTGACCTCTGACCTCTTTTCTGAGAGCCTCTGGCTTTCATCTCCCTTAAGAAGAGTGACCCGGCCGATGTGCAGGGAGCCTGGGTTCATCTGCTCATTCACGGGCTTCTTTCCCTGTCCCGCACGAGTGGGACTGTGGGAAATGTAAGGCCAGCAGTGTTTTGGATGGAATGACAGCTTCCCGCACTGTCTCCTTCACAGACGCAGAGGAAGCCCCACCTGCAGAGGGGGCCAGCAGGGAAGGGCAGGCGCCTGCAGGGGGTCCGGCCAATCTAGAGCCGGCCTCAGAGCCCCAGGTGAGCGGGGCCACAGGACAGGCAGGAGGGCGGTGAGGGTTTGCCCCGCACCCCGCCCAGGAAAGTTGGCCCCGACCTTTGCATCAGGCCCGCTGTGCACCCAGGGGCCGAGTCTGTGTCTGTCGGAAGTCTCTTTCCCCTGAACGAAGGTCCTCGAGAGAAGCAGAGTATAACCATGTGCACGTGGTTACTGAAATCATAGTCGTAAAGAGGTGTTTTTTAATTTTGGGAACTTGCACGTGAAATAGGATTATTCAGAGTCTGGTGTCTGAGGTGGACACAGTGGATTGCAAGCCTGGTTCCCCATTTAATGAGCTGCTTAACACGTGAGGGGTTACGTAACTCCTCAAAGCCTGTTTCCTGCTCGAAGATGGGGTGATAATGCCATCGCGGGGCCCAGGGTCCGTGTTCCCTAGAGATGGGCCGTCCGTCCGCGGTGGAGCCCGTGGGCCCTGCAGCTGCTCAGAGGGATGCTTTACACGGAGCGGAGCGCCTCGGCGCCGGGGCCGGAGGGGGGTCGCGTCGTCCCGCCCAGTGGGGAGGACTGCATGTCTTCTTCCTCTGATAGGCGTTCGGCTCCGCGGCGTCGCTCCCCGGCCCTGAGCTCCCACCCACCCGTGAGGACGGCTCCCAGGGAGGAGAGGTAAGGCGCGCCTGTAGGAGAGGGCCTTCCCCGAAGCCGGGCCCGGCACCTCACTCGTGTGTATGGTCCAAGTGGCTGCTTCTTCTAAAAGCGAGTGCTGACGAGTCGGAAAAGGCGGTTTAGCAGCTTCCTAGAGCCCGCAGGGTGTGTCCGCACAGCAGACAGCCCCCCTTGTCTGTGCAGAATCGCCCGGGAGCCCCACGTCGAGCAGGGCTGGAGCACACACCCCAGGCTCCGCTCACACGGCAGGGCCGCCCAAGGCCCCCAGCTCGTGGCGCTTTCTTCGTAAAAACTGTCCACGAAAGTAGGCGTTTTAAGCTAACTCTGGCTTTTCTCCCGTTTGGACTGTACTGATTCTAACGGCCTCATGAAGCTCTCTGGGGTTAAACTGACTGCTTAGAGCAGCAACATGCATGTTGATTTTTTATTTGTCTGTGTTTTGTGTGTGTTCTTGCTGTTTTGTAGCTTTCACGCTGTAGTTCAATGAGTTCATTATCACGTGAAGTAAGCCAGCATTTTTATCAGGTACCTGTGGCTGGCGGTTCTCACTGAACACGAGTTGAACTGGGTCGCCTTGTGTTCCCTCTGAGCGCGCTGTGCTGGCTGGCCGCCGTGCCCTTGTCGCTAACGAGCCCCACTGCCTCCCCGTCCGCCGCACGCCAGACGATGCAGTGTTCCTTTCTCCCAGGGCCCTCGGGGTCAGGAGCCGTCCAGATGCACTGACGAGCATGTGGACCCCAAAATGTTCCTAGTGAACGACTGCAGTCTTGTAATTGTGTTCTTTCTGGATTGGTTTTTCCACATGGCCGGCCTCCGGCGTAGGCTCGCCGTGTGTGAGTGGGTCTCAGAAGCCCGCCGGGGGCAGGAGGGACTTCTGTTCTCTGACCGAGCGCGCGACAGCGTCTCGTAGGCCAGGCCGAGGGCGGCGGGAAGCTGTCCTTCGGCCAGTCTGGGCGGGAGATAAAGGAATGCCTCATCTTTTCTGTGTATCGCGGAACGACGCGTTTCCATTGGCTCAGTAGAAGGCTTCACGTGACCTTTTTATTTGCATACTAAAACCCTGGATTTGACAGCTGGATACCAGAGGTCTGAAGTAGTCAAAAATGTTTACTAACTGCTTAAAGTCGACGCTAATGGGACGTCTTGGTGCCGTGCACTCCTCGTTCCTGCATGTTCTGGTTTTAAGGCATTTCTCTCTGCATGCGGCTTTACGTCTTACCGTTTTCCCGTGAACCTTGACGTAATTAAATCCAGTGTTGCAAGAAGTGTCTTCGACCTGCTTCGGTGGCTTACTTAGAGCACTGTAACGGGTCCCCCAGGAGTAGTGTCTTGTGTTCACAAAGGGCGCAAACCGCTGTCACGGCACTCTGTTGACATGGGCCCTCTGTTTCTCAGGCTCCCAGTGACCACCCCCCTGCAGGGGCCGCTCCCGGGGCAGCCGTGCCCTTCTACAGCCCTGCTCAGTTCGCACAGGTCAGTGCCCTCCCGTCCCCCAGCCCGTGCCCCGACCCACTGCGCCCGCTGCCCCTGCTCCCTCATCTGCCCCTCCCCTGCTCCTGGCCGAGCGGGGGCTCCTGCACTTTCCTGCTGACACACTGCGCCGTGGGTCTGGGTCTGACTCCCACGTGCTGGCCTTGGCCGCCCTTCACCTGCCAGCCCATGTCCTGCAGTTGGGGAATGTTCTTGAATGTTCCCTTGTAGTTCTCTCCCTCTGCCTTCTCTCTCTTCCATTCCCAGTTCTTGCCCGTAGTATACAGACCGGCTGCCAGTTTGGGGAGAGCCGAGGAGGGGGGAGGGGTCGTCCTGGCATTCAGGATGTAAACTCTCACCTGAGCCCAGGTGTCCTGGTGCGGCCCCTGCCCACACTGCCTGGGATGGCCGGACCTGCTCCCTCTGCACCCGGCGCTCGGCACCTCGCCACCCCAACCTCAGGGCCACCACGTCCCACTCAAGTTACAACCTGGCCGCCGCGCATCTGCTTTTCTGCTCCAAGATGTGTTTTTTTTCTGTCCTGTTACCTCCATCTTGTAGCCTGTGCTTTACGTGAATTCTTTGATGTCCCTTCTCGCTAGGATTTGCGAGGGGGCAGAGGTAAATGCCTGTGTGCTGCCCACGGGTTCTCCCAGGGCAGCCGCCAGCATTGGCCTCCCCTCCCACCACCTGACAAAACCGCAGACCCCTTTTTTTATAAAAAAATTTTTTTTTTTAAGATATTTTTTTTTATTTGACAGAGAGCACAAGTAGGCAGAGCGGCAGGCAGAGGGAGAGGGAGAAGCAGGCTCCCCGCCGAGCAGGGAGCCCGATGCGGGGCTCGATCCCAGGACCCTGGGATCATGACCTGAACCAAAGGCAGCCTCTTAACCGACTGAGTCACCTAGGCGCCCCATAAACCGCAGACACCTTTAAAGAGACCGCCCGGTTTGGTCCCCACCGGGTCAGTTACCAGGGGCTGCCTGTGGGTCCGTGTGGACGGTCCCACACACACAAGCCTCGCGGGTGTTCCCGGGATGCTGCCGGCCTCGGAGGCTGGGCGCATGGAAGTCAGCGCTCTTCCTTGTCCTCCTAGGCCTCGGCCCCCTCAGGATGCTCGAGGATGGGGAGGATTGGCCAGAGAAAATACCCAGCGTTGAGCTAGAAGAGTTCCCGTCCTGGAGTAGCATCTGGAACCCTGAAATCATTATTATGCTCCCCCAAGAACTCCCAACAGATCGCCTGCAACGTCCCTGTGTTCCCGAATGGGCACAGGAGTGATTCATTCCACCGTGACTGTACCTGTTCTTCCTCCACCGCCACCGTCTGTGAAGGGTGGCCAGGGTCAGGTGCACAGCTCCTGTATGAGGCCGCCCGAAACGGGGAGCTCTTGGCTCCTTCGTTCACCTAACAGTGATTTAAGGGTAAAACAGTCTCAGTTGTGAAGAGCGTTGTGCTGGGCAAGGCTGGAGGCATCTTTGCTGCAGGAAAGACTTTGCTCTTGAGGAACCCAGGTGTCTCTGCAAACCTAACCGTGCTTTATTTCCCACCCCCCCAAGGGTTCTTTTAGCTTTTGAGAGAGGCTCTGAAGTGCATCTCTGTCCGGTAGCAAAGACGTTTCCAGCTGCTTCTTCATGTCCCACGCAACCCAGGGGCCTGGCTTTGCCCGTCTGCGAGGGGCGGCCCTGCCTCCGACAGCTGCGTCCCACACGGGACTGGTCCCCGTGAATCCACCAGGACTAAAACTGTCACTGTAACAGATTGGATTGGGGGTTTTCAGTCCGTGCGTAGCCTGATCAGACTCCTCGTCAGAGAGCCGTGAGGGGCTGCCACGACCTTTGTGTGATCATCGACCCTGTGCTCGGTCGTGACTGCTCTTCACGGCGCCATCCACTTGCCTTCTCTCGCCTGGTTAACGTCCTCTCGGGTTGGTGACATCTTGGAGAGAGGGCGGAGATGGACTTTGTTGGCACGTGCTCCGAGTCCGAGGCTCTGCCTCCGTTTTCCCACGCCAGATCTTCCGCAGGTCGTGTGCCGACCGCCAGCCACCTGAACCACAAAGGGGGAGCCCTCCCCCTGGACTCCAAGCTTTATGGCTTCATCGACTGTTCTGAAAATTATTCACATTCTTGTTAGCTCTGAAGAAACTGCAGAAAAGATTTAAATATTTATAAGAATCATTAGAAAGTAATTTCTGTAGGTTCTGCTGGGGAACATAGTTTGCTTGGTGTTTTAAATCTAAGTACAGAAATGGTATAACTGTGGAATTCGCGCAGGCCTCCCGTTTCCCGGGGGCCCTGGGTCATCCAGGAAGGGCCACGGGAGGCTTTCCCGTGGCGTCACCCACGTGCACGTCCGGGTGCATTTGCTCCTGTCACTTTGAGAGAGGCTGGGGCTGGTTGACCGGGCAGCAGCGTCTTGTGTCCCTTGGTCCGCACTCAGTGGGGTCCTGGGACCCCAGACCCTCCTGGCGCCCCCCAGCTCCCTCCACCTGGCCTGCCCACCGTTGCCTGTGCCCACTGCCAGCAACTTTTGATTCAAGAAGCTCCCTCCCGGGCCAGGCGGGAGCTGCTATTTTTCCTAGATGCAACTTGTTACACTGCAAATTGGTAAATAAAGTATTTTGCGCTCGCAAGCGCGTCATCTGTTTCCTTTTGTCTGTGGGTCACCAAGGGTGGTGGTGGGGGGGGGGGGGACAAGGTCCCTGCCTGTGGGTGTGGGCAAGAGGGGCTTCTCCGCAGGGTGCGGGGGGGGGGGGGGGGCGTGCGGGGGGGGGAGGGAACCCCCCCCCCCGCACACCCACACCCACCCCCCACCCCCCACCCCCCGGCAGCAAGCGAGGTGCGTCCCTTGGGCAGGCCCGGCCCAGTGTGCCCACCCACCCCTGGAGCCTGGGGAGCCGCGGCGTGGGGGAGGGGCGTCTTCCGCGCTCGCGGGCGCGCTGGGTCCTCCGGCCGCCAGGGGCCGCTGTGGGGCCAAGCCCGCGATCCCCCAGACGCCCGTTGCCGGGGAGCGGCGGCCGGGCCCGCCGGGCTGGAGAGCGGGCGGCGCAGAGAGGTGGGCGCAGGGCGACCCCGGGCAGGGGTGCGGGTCCGGGGCGCGGGGTGACCCCTGGGCGGGGATGCGGGGCGAGGGTCCGAAGCGCGGGGTGACTCCTGGGCGGGGCGGGTCGCGGATCCAGGGCGCGGGGCGACCCTCTGCAGGGGAGGGGACTCGTATCCAGGGCACGGGGGGACCCTGGGCGGGGGCGGGGACGCGTATCCGGCGCGCGGAGTGACCCCTGAACGGGGGCGGGGGCGCGAGTTCGGAGCGCACGGTGACTCCTGGGCGGGCGTGCGGGGCCTCCGACCTCTGGGCGGGGACGCGGGTCCAGGGCGACGGGTGACCCTGGGCGGGGGCGGGGATGCGGATCCGGGGCGCAGGGTGACCCCTGGGCGGGGGTGCGGGGCGCGGGTCCCAAGCGCGGGGCGACCCTGGATGGGGCGGGCGCGCGGGTCCAGGGCGTGGGGTGACCCCTGGGTGGGGGCGGGGACAGGGGCCGGGGGCGGGGTCCGCCTGCGCGGCGGTCGTTGCCCTGGGGACCCCGCGGCGGCCTCACTGGCTCCCAGGTTCTGAGCCTGGGGCCTTTGGCGGCGGCGTGGCCTCCGACCTGCAGAGGGGACCTCTCTTGGGGCGGGGTCTGCGGGAGGAGCGATGGGGGTGGGCACGCAGGTGAGTGAGGGCGCGGGGACCCCCCTCCCCCATTGGAGGCTGCACGCACTGGCCCTGACCTTGGGGTTGTGGTTCTCCCCTGGTCACCCCTAGCGCCCCACGGAGGGGCAGGCCGGTCGGTGTGGTGGCTTCCCATCCTGAGAGGTGCCAGCTTGCACCCACCTCCCAGGAGGAGGCGACGGGCCAACGTCTCAATGTGTGTTCTTGCTAGACTGCTGCTGGCCTGTCGCTCTGTCACCCTGTACCGCAGCGGTCCCGTGGGAGCACTCACCTGGCATGGGTGAGTGGCTGTGCGAGGCCAATAGCTAGGTTTTCCTGTAGGTTCCTGTGGGAGACAGCGGGACTTCAGGGCTCCCAGCCATGCAGCAACGGGCCCTGCCCCTCCCGGCCGGCCCCGGGCCTGAAGCGGAGCCCCTGCGCCTTCTCTCCTCAGTGGCTGCCCGCCGACGTCGGACCGTGCATCCCTGACCCCGGGCTTCACCGGCAGCGCCCAGCGGGAGTTGTGTCCTGGGGCCTCCCGGGGCCGGGGGGCTGGGCTGCCAGCATCTGTGCTCTGGCCCCTGGACTGTCCACGTTAGCGGGCCTGGGCCGTTCAGAGGCATCTCCCCCGCAGCCTGCCGCTCAGGAGCATCTGCAGCCTGAAGACAGAATGCTCAAGGGACAGCTTCCAAACACGGGCAGAGACCTCGAAGCCCACCCAGGGTCCCCGCCTACCAACAACGGTCAGGGCCCTGAGAAGAGCCCAGTGCTCCCTCTGAACCTTCCAGCACAAATCAGCAATGAGGACCCACAAGCCAAGGCCACACCCTTTACCCCAAAGCCGCCGACGAGGCCCCGGCTGGAGCGAGCTCTGTCACTGGACGAGAAGGCATGGAGGAGGCGGCGTTTTCGAACCAGCCAGGAGGACCTGGCCGCGCGCAGTGGGGCCAGCCCCTCTAGGGGCTCCTTGCAGGACGAGGTCCCCAGGCCCCCCACCCACACTGACTCCCCACCCTGCCTGAGCACCTCCTTGCAGGAAATCCCCACATCCCGCAGGGCCCAGGGCAGCGCCGGAGGGAGCCCCTCCTCGTGGGGTCACTGTCTCTCCGGGATGATCGGCAGTTCCCTGGACCTCCTGCACCGGGACGGGGCCTTGGCTGGGAGCCCCAGCAGGCTGCCGGCTGTGGGCCAGAAGGTGGCCTCCAGTTCCCTGCGGTCAGCAGACAGGGTGGACTTGGTTCAGACTGACTGCAAGCCCCGCCTGCAGAGCAGACTGTTCCGGGCCCACAGCAGCCTGGGCCCCGGCCGGCCCCCAAGCCCCCTGGCCTGTGACGCCAAGTCCTCCTTCAGCCTCCTGGCGCCCATCCGCGCCAAGGACGTCCGGAGCAGGTAGGGCACCCGGGGGACGGGGGCGGGGGGCATCCTCTGTGGCTTGTTCGAGCGTTCGCAGGCACCCTCCTCGAGAAGCACGTGAAGGTTTTCTCGTAAAACCGTGTGCGGTGTGATGTGGAGGCTATTCCTTCCCAGAGGGGCACCCCTTCCAGAACTTTCCCTCCGTGTTTCAGCAGCACTCAGGGCACGCGTGCCTGTGAAACATGGTTCAGAGGCATCCATGACCTTCTGCACGCAACGCCGTACCTCGTTGGCTCTCTCTGGTTCTGAGCGTCGGGACAGCTTCCTGGATCAGTGTGGGTGTCCGCGTTGCTGTCTGTGCGGCCGCAGGGCCCCGCCAAGTAGCCTTGAGGGGGGCTGTCACTCCCCCAGTCCGACGCGGAGGGGCCCCCGGGGCCCCGGCTGGTGCTGTAGGCCTGCAGCGCGAGCAGCCGGGGCGGGGCTCTGTGCGCCAGCCAGGCCGCCGTCCGGGACAGATAGCTGGAGGGGGACTCCCGGACCTCAGAGAGGGGGGCCCCCTGGGCCCTCGCTGGCTGCAGGGAGGGCGCACAGGGCCCGATTGGCTGCACGTTGCTTCCAGGAGTGTCGCGATTTCTCTGAGGCTCGGACTGTTTGCTGAGCACCCCGCATCCATCAGCTCCCACTTGGCCCCACAACCACAGAGGACGCTTGGTTTCCAGTCTTTACGGGACCTTAGCAGCTAACGCGTTCTGCCTCTTTTATAGCTTCCAAAGAACCTAGCCAGGCGCTTCTGCCCCGATGCCTCTCCTTCGCTCGTGACTCCTGCGCGTGCTCCTGGCTCCAGCCAGCAGACCGGGGGTCCCAGATACTTCCGAGCCCAGCCTGTTAAGTCTGCTCTTCCCCAGGGACCTCAGTCGTGGGGCTCACACTGCAGTGCCCCCGCTGCCACTCTCCTGGCACCTGGCCCAGGCCCCTGCTCCCTACCAGGGTTCGGCGGCTTGTTTAAGCACATACGGGCCCTGACTTGGGGGCCCCCGCACCACCCACTCCCCAGCACGGCACCCGAGGCCCCAGGTGAGGCCCTGGCCCCACGTCCCTCACCAAACTCCTCACCACCGCTCCACCTGCTGCCCTCTCCAGTCCGCACTAGGCCAGCACCAGCCCAGCTGGACACGGAGCCGGCAGATGGTGGGATGGTCGCTGCGCTGGTGTCCATGACCCATGACCCCAAACCAGAAGTCCTGAAACAAAAGGACTGTGTTCTCTGCCAGTTCTGGAGACCTCAAGTCAGAAATCCCGGTGTCACGGGGCTGCGCTCCTTCCGGAGGCTCCAGGGGAGGGTCCTTCCTGCCCTTCCAGCTCCCGGTGGCCCCGGTGCCCCTCCGGCCTGTGCCCTCACCCGTCTCTCCTCTCACGGGGGCGCTGGTCGTTGGATCTAGCGCCCACCCTCCGTCTGGGACACTCCCACGTTGCCATCCTTAACTAACTAACCACGCTGCAAAGCCCCCGTGGCCACCGAGGGTCCCCTGCGCGGGTTCTGAGGGTCAGGCAGCAGAGGAAGCCGGTGGCGAGCCCAGCCGTGCCGGACAGAACCGGTTTCTCCGCTAGCGTTTCCGGAAGCCGGCGAGGCTTCGTGTCCCGGCAGTGTCACCCCCACAGGAGCGGCGCGTGACGCACGCACACCGCTCGTTCCAGAAGACGGGAATCCCGTCTCAGAATCGGGCCTCGATTCACTGTTTTCAGACAAGCAGCAAACAGCAGGCTGATGGGGATCCCTCACCCCAGTTCTGCGGCCTGAAGACCCCGTCTCAGCCCCTCGGTGTGCTTCGGAACAGGCGTGAGCACACTTCCTCCGAGGAGAGCCGGAGGGTCCGTGTCTGCCTTGTGGGCGTGCGCACGTCTGTGGGGGGCGGGGAGAAGCTGACCCCCGCTGTGGGGCCGCGACGCTTCGTTTCAGGGCGCCGACGTTTGGATTTTATGTCGTTTTCCTGCGTCACGAACACTGGTGTTCTCCCCCCAACCGTTGGTAAGCGTGAAAACGGTTCTTAGCTCACGGACTGGCCACAAACAGGCGGGACCGGGCCGAGGTCAGAGCGGAGACGCCCGTTGTCAGGCCGGCCCCCCGCGGTGGACGGTGCGGGGCGCGGGGTGGGGAGCCGTCAGAGGCTTGGAAAGTACTCAGGGTGTCTGTTAACGGACATGGGGCTGGTTTCTCAAGGACGCTGCCAAACGAGCCGTGCGTCATGAAGCCCGGGTAAGCCGCGGTGGCGGGGCCGGGCCGAGCGGCCGCAGGGGACAGGTTCTCCCGCATCCCGGAAGGTGGAGGCCGGCGGGGAAGGCGCATGCGGGGCAGCGTGGAGGGGCGCGGCGTGGGGAGAAGGGCGGAAGCCAGGTGTGATCAGCCGCACCCGGTGGTCCCCCCCAGTGTTCGGAGCCCACCCCCTCTGCAGCCCACTGCCCCCCGTCTTCCTGCACTGCAGTGCCCGGCTGCCAGGCCTTGGCACACAGCGCCCTTGGCCTACCCCTGACAGACGGGACTGGACAGCCCTGCCTGCTGGGAAACAAGGGGGGGGCCTCAGAAGGAACAACCAGCCACCCGGTGCTGGAAAGAGCACTTCGAAAGAGCCCTCATTTGCATGCGGCCATCAGGGTGATGGCTGACGATGAGGGCTGTTTTTGTGGACTGATCAGGCCACCATCTTGGTGTCACTGGAGTAGGGATAGGACCCACGGAGCTTATTGGGGTACATCAGCCAGGACATGGGAATGAAGTCTGATCAGCCTCTGAGATGACCAGGAGACGATGGAGCCGCCCTCTGGGTGTGCAGGGGGATGGGTGGTCAGGGTCTGCAGCAGATGGAAGGCACCGGGGTGGGGGACGGGTGGTCAGTGTCTGCAGCAGATGGATGGCACTCGGTCGGCGGGGACAAGTGGTCAGGGTCTGCAGCAGATGGATGGCACTCTGTTGGGGGTGACGGGTGGTCAGGGTCTGCAGCAGATGGATGGCACTGGGTGGGGGAACTGTTGGTCCATGTCTGCAGCAGATGGATGGCACTAAAAGACCTAGGAGACAAAATGACCAAACACAGGAATGGCCATTGCCTGGGTACTGATTCCAGGAGCATCCTGACTGATCTCAAACTGGGTTGGAAGAAGTTCTGGAAGGAGAGCTCCCAGCAAAAGGAGGACCACAGACGAGTGGAGAAAGGCCACAGGTGGACACCGTGCAAGAGGAGAGATGACACAGGGAGGCTGGTGTCCCGCCCTAACATGGGTGACCGGGCCTGTGTGCACGTGCTGGGCTCGTCCACCTGTGCAGGAGAGCGCAGCCTCGAGGCCACCGGCTGGACAGGGGCACAAACGCAGTCTTGGCCTGATTTTGTTCGGTCCGTCGTCTGAGGACGGTTTTCCCATGGTTGAGAAGACGGGGCTACTGTTTCGTGATACGTGAAAATTACAGGACACTCGGACTCCGCAGTCCCCAGATGAAGCTCAGGGGCCGCACGGGCTCGCCGACGGGGCCGGGCGGCGGGGCGGGGCTGTAACCGTGTGCACGCTGTGCTCCGGAACTCTTGAAACGGGCTGTGACCGGCGGTTGTCGTGAGGGTGGACGTGCCCCCTGTAGCTTCCAGGGCCCCCGGGGCCATGCTGAGGTGGAGGCAAGCCCCTGGCCCAGGGTGCGCGTCACCCCAGGCTGCTGCTGTCCAGGGCCAAGAGCCCAGATGTCACCTTCAAGTCCTTGGTCTCAGGAGGTGACCGAAAAGTTGAATGTGTGCTGGTGTTTGTAGAATTGTGAACCCAGCGGGCTTTCCAAGAGGGCAGTGGACCCTCGTGCTGTGCCTCCTGCCAACCCATGGGCGCTCAGGAAGCCCCAGCTCCACCTGGGTGGCTCAGTCGGTTAAGCGGCTGCCTTCGGCTCAGGTCATGATCCCAGGGTCCTGGGATCGAGCCCCGCATCGGGCTCCGTGCTCGGCGGGGAGCCTGCCTCTCCCTCTCCCTCTGCCTACCTGTTCTCTCTATCTCTCTGTCAAATAAATAAATAAAATCTTTAAAAAAAAAAAAAAAAAGGAAGCCCCAGCTCTGGGAGAGCCTCCCGAAAACTGGGGTTCCACACAACTGTGGGGGCCTGAGGCCGCAGGTGTGCCCGGCAGGTGTGTCCCTGCACCTGGCCCCCCCCCGGGTCTGCCCGTTCAGACCCTCGACTTCTGGCTGCCCTCTCTCCACAGGAGCTACCTGGAGGGGAGTCTCCTGGCGAGCGGGGCCCTGATGGGGGCAGAGGAGCTGGCCCGGTACTTCCCAGACCGCAACATGGCCCTCTTCGTGGCCACCTGGAACATGCAGGGCCAGAAGGTAAGCCGCCCACTCCCACTCGGGTTCTCTCCCGGGGCCTCCGCGCCGCACACCGTCTGCCTGGCCTCAGCCCAACACCTGGGTCACCCAGAAAGCCCCTGCCTCACCCACCTCCCCACTGCCTGGGGGCGGAACACGTGGTTTTCTTACACGTGCATGTTTGTTTTTCGGATAGCTTTAGGCTCAGGGCAGATTTGAAGGGAACAGAGATTTCCCTAGAGCCCCCGCCCCCACACACAACCTCCCCCTGTCCACACCCCACCGCTGGGCCGGCCATGACCATCCGTGAGCCTGCACAGCCTGGTCTGGTCCTTGTCACCTGGGGGTCACCCTGGGTTACGTTCACTCAGCAGCTTCTGTGAGGAGGTGACAGCGGAGGCCTCCAGCCGCTCTGCCGAGACGGTGCTTTGTGTCCTGACCGCGCACAGGCCAGAGGTCTGCGCGCTCATCTCTGGCCTGTGCTTCTGGGGCCCCCTGGACACTGTGTGGGTGGCTTTGTCTCCAGCTCAGCCGTCTCCCCTGGGCCTCCCTCCTCGCGGCAAGGACTGTCCCCGGGTTGGCGGTCTCCGTCCCCCGCATGTGCTCTGACTTCTGGGGGCCGGGCGTGGACTGCCTAGCACGCCCCTGGTTGTCGTGGTGACATCACAGAAGGCACGTCCCTCCGTACGGTGGTGCCCCAGGCTGGCACGGGGCGACGGGCGCTGCGGGGGAAACAAGGCGGGGCTGCCACCGGCACAGAGTTTGGCTGAGGAACCAGGGGCCCTGACGACAGAGCCCCCGGAAGGAGACAGAAGTGATTCTCCCTTGGGCTGAAGGAGGCAGGTGCCCAGGCCGGCGGCACCACGGTCCCTGGGACACCACCGTGCCTGTCCACGGGACGGCGCTCTCGTCCAGGGCCCTGAGGGCTTGGAGGCCACGACATGCAGCCACAGGGTGGAGGAAGGCTCGCCCGCGGGACCGGGGCGCCCGGCCCGGGCAGCACCCCCCCACCCGGAGTGTACCTGGGGGCACGGGCCGCGTGGCGAGGGTGCCGCACAGACGCGGGCGTGGCGGTGACCAACTGGGGTGGAGGGCGGCCTGCCCAGACCTGAGGCTCCCCTGGACGCGTCCCACGGGCAGCGCTGGTCCCCGAGCTGCAGGAGCGGCCGGGGCTGCTGGCCCTGCGGGAGCCTCTCACTACACACGGTTCTTCGCAGGAGCTGCCCCCAAACCTGGACGAGCTCCTGCTGCCCGCCGAGGCCGACTACGCCCAGGACCTGTACGTCGTCGGGGTCCAGGAGGGCTGCTCCGACAGGTAGGGTGCACCCCTGCCCCGCGTCTGCCCAGCCCGTCAGCCCCCCGGCCCCTGGCGGCGGCGCTGAGGTGGGCCTTCGGGCCTGGAGCTGCTGCGGCCCGAGAGCCCCGTGTGGGGCGAGGCCGAGGCCGCAGCAGGCCGGGGCTGCCCGCCAGAGCCGCCTCCTGGTCTGTGGGCCGCTCAGAGAACTTAGAACAAGTGAGCTTCACTTCTTGTTGACTCACCGCTGATCTAAGAATGGCAGTGAAGAGCTGCGGGAGCCCTGGCTCAAGCCGACCCCTCCGCGGGGTCCTAGGTCCGCAGCGCCCCGGCAGCACGCCTGGGGTTTGCAGGGTGACGGCAGCACCCGGGCATCCCACCCCTCAGGAGGGGAAGGGGCCAGGCTCCCGGCCCCCAGGGTAGCGGGAGAGCACCGGCCTGGAACCCGCCCAGGGGCCCTCGTGTTGCCTGTCGGTCCGCCACTCTCCCTGCGGGACGACGCCCGATGGCGCGGCTGTCTGGGCTGCGGGGTGAGGGGTGGCGGGTCTGGGAGGTTCCAGCCCCCTTGCCAGGCTGTCCTGGCTTCCCTGTGCAGGCGGGAGTGGGAGACGCGCCTGCAGGAGACGCTGGGCCCCCGCTACGTCACACTGTACTCCGCGGCCCACGGGGCGCTCTACATGTCCGTGCTCATCCGCAGGGACCTCATCTGGTTCTGCTCAGGTAGGCGGGCCAGTCTGCTCTGCGCCGGCGCCCTGGGCACCCCCACCCAGCGGGTGCGCGCGGGGCGGGCAGGGGCGGCCGTGTCAGCCTCGCCCCTCCATCCCGCAGAGGTGGAGAGCTCCACGGTGACCACGCGCATCGTATCTCACATCAAGACCAAGGGCGCCCTGGGCGTCAGCTTCACCTTCTTCGGCACCTCCTTCCTCTTCATCACGTCCCACTTCACCTGTAAGTCCAGGCGCCAGGGACACCGCTCCCCCGATGTCCGCCCGGAGAGTCTGGAAGGCGGAGGCCCCGCGTGACCCGTGACCGTGTCCTCCGGTAGCGCTCGGCTCCGGGCTGGGCGCTGAGGGGGCTGGTGTGGGGAGGCCGTGGGGCTCAGGGCGAGAGTACCCGGTGGGGCGGGCCGCCGCAGACGCTGGGGTAGAGCGGGCTGGGGGCGGTGAGCGCCAGGTGTCCCGTGTCCACAAGCCTCGCTGGAGAGGCCCCCCACGCTCTGTTCTCACAGCCGGGGACGGGAAGGTGAGCGAGAGGCTGCTGGACTATAGCAGAACCGTCCAGGGCCTGGCCCTGCCCAGGAGCGTGCCGGACACCAGCCCCTTCCGCTCCGACGCTGGTGAGCCCCCGTCCGCGCGCTGCCGCCTTCTTCTCTGGGTACTTCAGTGAAAGTAAACTTTGAGAGCTTTTGAGAATCCAGGTTAGAAAAGTCTAGAAAGTCACCAGCCAATGGAAATAAAACCGCTGAGGCCTGGCGCTGGGCTCCTCACGAGCTGTGACCCTGTCAGCGCATTTGGCGGCTGCTTTCACGAGGAGCCCGGCCTCACCAGCCCGGCTCTGCATCCTCCCCCCTGCCCCCCCTCCAAACCCCCCCTACCCCCTGGCTGCCCCGCGGGACGGCGCCCTGGCGGAGGCAGCGTGCGTGGCAAGTGTGGGCTCCTGTGAGCGTGAGGGCGCCACGTGTCCCCGATGTCTGTTGCTGTTTGAGAGAGAATCGTGACCCCGACTGTCGACCCAGGAGGTTGCAGGGCACCCCCCCCCCCCCCCACGGGCTGCGCCCCCTTCCCTGAGGAGTCCTTGCTTGTGGCTCTGGCCAGACACAGACCAGTCCCTGTCGCTAAGGCATGGTGAGCACGGAGGGCCGGGCTCACACGCTTTCCCATTTTGGCCAGCGGATGTCACCACCCGGTTCGATGGGGTGTTCTGGTTTGGAGACTTCAACTTCCGTCTGAGCGGTGGGCGCGTGGCCGTGGAGGCCATCCTGAAGCAGGACCTGGGAGAGAAGGTGTCTGCCCTGCTCCAGCATGACCAGCTCACCCAGGAGATGAAGAAAGGTCAGGTCTCAGGGAGGAGGTGTGGCCTCCCCAGCCCCGAGAAGGCGCAGCCTGCGGGGTTGACGTGGGCTGTGACTGTTCCAGGGTCCATCTTCAGGGGTTTCCAGGAGCCGGACATCCACTTCCTTCCATCATACAAGTTCGACATTGGGAAGGACTCCTACGACACCACCTCCAAGCAGAGGACCCCCTCTTACACGGTGAGCACGCCCCTGGCGCCGGCCCGGCTCTGCGGCCGAGGTCTGGGTCCGCTCGCGCTTCCGAACCGTGGGCTAAGGACTGAGGTTGGCCGTGAGGGCAGCAGCCGCGGGCCGCGGGGCCTGTGGGGTGCGGTCAGACTCGGGCCTGGGCCGCTGCGGGCTAGTGACCGCACCTCTCCGAGACTGCTGGGGTTGGGGGCGGTGCCCCCCGACAAAGGCCCTTCCGAGGGTCGTCTGCTGGTCCCGGGACAGCGAGGCACACGCCCTGCGCTGTCACTTGGTTGAGCCCCTGGCTCCACCCCCTCCACACTGGGTCCCCGGACACAAGTCCGCACTGGGCTCGGGGGAGGGGCTCCGGGAAGAGGCTCTGGGGGGGCGGGGTTCTGACGCAAGGACTCTGCTCGGGCACAGCCGAGGTGACAGGCACGCAGGCCGAGCCCTGCAGCGAAACTGTGCAGCATCCGGGCCCGTCTGTGGGCTCTTTTCTGCAGGACCGGGTCATGTACCGAAGCCGCCACAAGGGTGACATCTGTCCCATCAAGTATTCCTCCTGCCCTGGCATCAAGACGTCTGACCATCGCCCCGTGTACGGCCTGTTCCGGGTGAAAGTGAGGCCGGGGAGAGACAAGTCAGTATCCTGGCCACATGTCCTCATGCGTGCCGCCCTCGGGGCCCCGGGGGCCGGGGGGCGGGATTCCCGCTCTGAAGTGAGGGTCAGGGCTGGCCGGCTCTTTGTGACACGCATGCGGCCGGGCCTGGCCCGGGCTCCGGACGGGTTTCTGCTCGCGGGCGGCAGTGGTCACGCGCGGTACGCGGCGGGTCCCAGCGGCCCGCAGGGACTGGGCAGCAGAGTCGGCCTCCTGGAGGCTGCGGAAACAGCCGGCCCCCCTGGCTGACACCCTTTCCTCCACAGCATCCCGCTAGCTGCCGGCAAGTTTGACCGAGAACTGTACTTGATAGGAATTAAAAGACGGATTTCCAAAGAAATTCAGAGACAGCAGGCACTGAAGAATCAGCACTCGAGTACTATTTGTACTGTTTCTTGAGGTCTGCCCAAGGACCTCTGGCACCTCCACCGGGAGGTTACTTGATCAAAAGCCCCTAAAGACGGAAGAGGTTGCTGTGTGGGACTTCTCCCCCTTTCTGGGCTGCCGACGAACCACTGCTCGAGACTGACACGCTTTCTGACCCAGAACCCCACGGGGAGGCCAGCAAGACCGGCCAAGTGGTACCGAGGCACCAGTGCCCCCGCCCGGAACGACACCAGCCACGCTCGTTTACAGCACGTCCCGGCAGGCCCCACGCCGGCCACACGCGTGGTCCCGGGGCGCAGGCGTCTGGGTGGGGCAGGGCCTGGAGCCACCCGCTCACCCAGAGCCGGGGCTGGCAGCCCCCCAGCAGCCCCTCCAGTGCAAACTGGGAGGTGCCCTTCCCCCTCTGAGCACAGCGGGCCCGGTACCAAAGACGTAAGCTGCTCAGGGTCAGGCGGCTGGGGGGGGGGGGGGTGGTCTCTGTCCCACCAGTGCACTTGAGGACCAAGCCCAGGCCCGGCTGGTCAGGCCAGAGCCAGCCGACTTCCAAGGAGGGAACACAGTCCCGCTGGGACGGGGAGGCCTGGCCTGTTTCAGGGCCGCCTCTGATCTTGGGGGGCTGGCCCGGCCCATCCAGCCATGAAGCCACCTCCCTGTCCTCTTCTGGTTCTGGTGATTTAAGACTGTTTGCATACACGTGACCAGCCTCAAACAGCATGAACGTAAGTAGCGCACTTCCTGGCCTGAGAAAGCAGGGGAAGCTTAGGGTGTCCCCCACATTCCGGATCTCTTCTTTCTTTGAGGGCTGAGTGCGTGATCGCCCACGATGGCTTCTAAAGACAGGCTCTGAATGTGGGAAAACCAAGGGGCACTCAATCTAGTCTTTCAAATTATTTATTTTTCCATATTTATATTTTTAAATAAATCCATATATTAAATCTTAAGCTCTTTCTGGCCAAAGATTGAGTCCTAGAAAGAGATCATCTGTACACTCAGCCCATTCTCCTGATGTTCTCAGAAAACAAGGGTGTCCAGTTCAATGGCAGGAAGTTCAGGGTACACCGTGGCTCCCCGGAGCCACCTGCTCTGCACCCAGCTGCCACCCCAACCATGGGGCTGGCTGGAGGGGGGCTTTTAAGGGAGAAGGGGACACCCCAGACCTGAGTGGAGGAAATGAAGTCACTTCCACAGGGCATGTGTACCCCCTTTATTAGTGCCAACTTCCACAACACGGAGCCAGGCACACCCGGTCTCTGACACAGAGGGGAGAGTCTGTTCATGAGAAGGTCCAGTCAACCCCATCGGACTTCAAGAAACGAGATTGTATAAAATTTTACTCAAAAGAAATGTGCCGTTGAGTTTTGAATCATGAATTGAAAACGTCTGTTACAGATTTTTGCAGTGAGGGGGCCTGGAGAGGAGGCATTTTTATGCATCTTCCCAGGCACCATCTCTGACCAACAGGACAAAGCGATGGTGCAGCATGGAGGAGTCTGGCTTGAGACGGGGCTTCGTGTCTGTGGGGATCGTGACACACACCTGAGGGGTCACGGGTCCAGTCAGGATACTCCCTTAAGAGCAGCCAGGAGATTTGAGATGAACAGGTTTCGCTTAGAAAGGTTAAAATTCAGATAGGGGCGCCTGGGTGGCTCAGTCGGTTAAGCGACTGCCTTCGGCTCAGGTCATGATCCTGGAGTCCCGGGATCGAGTCCCGCATCGGGCTCCCTGCTCGGCGGGGAGTCTGCTTCTCCCTCTGACCCTCCCCCCTCTCCTGCTCTCTGTCTCTCGTTCTCTCTCAAATAAATCTTTAAAAAAAAAAATTTTTTTCAGATGAATGCAGATATGGGCCAGTCTGAAAACCAGCTTCACCGAGATCGAGAAGCACAAGCATGAGGGTGGTTTTCAAGACCCGGCTCTCATCGCCTCCACGCACTCTGCTCACGCCAGGCCTCCCTTGGGCACCTGCTGAGCCTGCGGCAGCCAGCCCTGAGGGCCACGTGGGGCCCAGAATGGGGAGGGGGCGTGGCTGCATGCCGAGGGGAGCAGAGGGGCCAGGCCATGACAGGGTCCAGGGAGAAGCCAGTGGGGAAGCAGGACAGGCGGGTTAGCACCAGCTTCCAGACCCTGGGTCTGGGCAGTGCTTCAGCTTTTCTGGTCAGAAAAACGCTCTGACCAACATCCACCCGGGCCTCATGTCTTCCCGAGCTCTGCCCCCCACCCCGCACCCCCCACCCCACTGAATGCCTGCAGTGCGGCCAAGCTCCTGCCCTCTACCTCCCTTGGGTGCTGCCCTCCCCCTGGGGTAACCACAGAAACGACAAGATAGTCCACACTGCTGCCCACCTGCCCTCCAACTCAGGCTCATCTCCCTTGGGCCCCACCCCAGCGGGCATGGAGGGCCTGGCATCCCCGCTGTGCCCCGCCCTCCGCAAAGGTAGTCACTGGCACGTGTGCTAGAAAGGCACCTAAACAGGATGATGGGCTCCGGCAGAATAAGTGGATTAAATAACTGAAGTAACATTCACGAGTCGATCTCCTCGGAATAGCCCTGCCCTCCTGCCTGTGCGGCCGAGGATGCCGAGGCTGCCAAGGGCTGGGGACAGCAGCGGCCCTGCAGCTACAAGAGGTGGCCCACGTGGGCTCCTGGGGACTCTACACGCATTCACGTTGGAGAACCACAAAGCTAACAAAGCTAGCCCACGTTGCTAGACTCACCGGGCCCTGCGGCACTCCTGACAGCGCCTTCCCCTCCAGCACGCTCCCGGCTTTGCTCCCCCGACCGGCCACCGAATCTGAGAACCCCGCCTCCCGTCCTGTGCGCTCAGACATGCCCGCAATCAGAACAATTAAAGGACAAGAGGCCTCGCAGTGTTGGGTCCAACTGGACGACCCTCAGGGAGACACCCCGCTTGCCCACTTCCAGCCCTGTTTCAGGGATGCTGCTGAGGGTGAAGGAAAACCGTGCTGAGAAAAACGCTCCACGAAGCAGACCAGGGGCTCCTGCCCTGCCCCGGGGGCTGACTGTGGGGAGACAGTGCGGCACTGCTGATCTCCAGGGGCGCAGGACGACAGGAACAACGCTGACCTGCTCCCCAACAGCAGTCTGCCTTGAACCTTCTTGCACTTCGCTGGTTTCTAGCCACAGTGAGGGCAAACCTTTATTCCACCGAGTGGCTTATTCAACAGCAAAGAACCAGAAACTGAGCTGTGCTCGGCGACATTAAATTTGTTCAAGAGTCCCATGGTTTGCACCGTTTGAGTCTTTGCACTAAACTCACACCCAGAGACATGTACGATCACACGCGACTCCCGCAGCCGCAGTCGGGCGGCCTCTAGCGGAAGAGCCGGTAGATCCTGGGCAGGCGCCCGTCTCTGCTGGACAGCGCCGCCTGGATGTGCTCGTAGGCCGGCAGGTCGCTCAGATCGCCCAGGGCCGCCACTGCGGGCTTCCTGCGAAGCATCTGAGAGGCAACTCTCCGGATGTCTTCCGGCTTCACGCTGCCTGGCACAGGGGACAAAAATACCTCAGGGGATTGCCCGCCTCCTGCACGGACTCCGTCTCCGGGTGTGGCTGCGGCCCCTCAAGGCCCTGGGGGTCTGAGGCTGGGCTGCCGACTCCAGAGGGTCCAGATTCAGCTGTGGGGACTATACTGTGAGTCAGGGTGAAGTATCAGGTTTTTCTTGGTAAACGGAGAAGTACCAGTGGTTTAAAAGAATTTTCAAATGTAGACGTGTGCCTGCCCAGAGAAGTTGACACATCTATAATGGAACAGCTCCTTGTCTGCAGAGCTACCCACATGGAGGGGCTGCGGGGGTTCGTAGGGGGGCAGCCGCGTGCGCAGCCTGGCCTCCCCAAGAGGGACCTGGGTCCACAGCTCGTGTGGGCACGAAAAGCGCACCGTGGGAACACACTGACCAGTAGGTTGGTTTTGCTACAGAAGACGAGGCCTTAGGGAGATCGGGTACTGTTGTGCTCCATGGTCTGAGGGGCTCCCCGGGGCGGGGGGGTGAGGATGCACCCGCGGACGGGATGCATGCTGGAGCCGCCACGAGGTTAACAATCGTCACCAAAGAACCACCGGCCTAACCCTTGTGGGGTCACGGACCCTTTGAGGAGCTGATGGAAGCATAGACTCGTCCCCCAAAGCGGGACACACAGGGAAATTCAAGGACTTCCTGCAATTCACCCACAGGAGGCCATGGAAACCTGGGCTCAAGTCACAGAGGGCGCCACCACACGAGCCCCGTGTGGAGCGTTTCCGTCCATTAGCTCACCGAGTCAGCTTAGAAACCCGGAGCAGTGGTGAAAGGCCCCTTTATAGGGGGTGAAAAGCTGGGGCCACAGGGGTCGGTACTCAGGGACCCGAGGCAGGGCTGGTCCAGGGTGAGGGCTCACGGGTCCAGGAGCCACGAGTAAACAGGTCTGTGGCAGTCTCCTGGGAGGAAAAGGAGGGAGCCCGACCTGGGCCCCCAGCATGGTACTCACGGATGAGTGCGCACAGCTCGTGGGGCAGCTTCCTGGAACGGGTCGCCAGCACCTGTCTCCCTACGTCCTCAAAGATCACAGGCCTGGACTCCAGGTTCATCATGAGCATGGACATCAGCTGCGTCTTGGCCCGCTCCAGCTCCACCTGGGATTCAACCACCAAGTCACACGCTTCAGTTCACAACAGCTCACACACCGTCGCCCTGTCAAGGCCACGTCACAAGAAGACAAATCCAAGAGTCAGGGGCTCCACGCTGAACCCAGGCACAGGGCCCAGGCAACCCTGTTCCCTGTGCCCCCGGGGAAACTCTGAGGGGACCAGCTCGATCTACCAAGTCTGGGCCTGGAGCCTCTCTGACCAGGGGTGAAACTGACGACGTTGGGACTTCGGCAAGTTTCATCCACAAAGCTCAGCGTGAAACCGGAGGGCACGGAAACCGGCTGGGTGAGAGACCGGAGGGGCCGGCCAGAGCAGCACACGTGCTGCAAGACAGACCAGCTGCGGAGATTCCGTGTCACCGTCTAAGCAAGAAGACTCCTGATTGCAGACGAGTCCTTTCTACTTTGCCAACTCCGGGCAAATACTTACAACTTACCTCAAATTAGCTTCACGTTAACGGGAAGTACTTCCTAGCAGGCCACTAATGGAGCCCCCCCAACTGATTTTTAAATACATTTTTGTAAAATTACTTTTTTGAAATACTTTTTTTTTTAAACTTTTTCTGACTAAAAAGGGAGCATGTGATTATTGCAAAAAGCAGGGACCGAGCAGGAAAGATCTATAGGTGAAGGCCGTGCGCCAACCCTCAGAGGCACTCAGCCCACACGCTGGGGCTCTCCTCCAGGCCTTCTATGCGCGTGCATACGGAACCTGCTTATTTGTACCAGGGCTGGTCCACGAAGAAACAAGATCTCTAAATACGTAAGCTGACAAAAACTAAGCCAAACAAACGAGGAAACAAAGACTCAGGTTAAAACACAAAATGGAGTTCAGGGTGCCAGGCAGGCTCAGTCCACAGAGCACGTGGCTCTTGGTCTCGGGGTTGTGAGTTCCAGCCCCATGCTACGGATAGAGATTACCTTAAACCTAAAATCTTTAAAAACAGAACAAAACCAAAAAAGCAAAACAAAACGTCAAATGGAAGTTAGGAGAGAGCTCGAGAACCACCCCGAGAGGCCTGCTCATCCTGTGTGACGTGGCTTTAGTTCCCATGGTTCTGCAGGGTGGTTGAAAAGGACACTCGAGACCGCTCTGCACCATTTCTTCCAGGAGGGCCAGGGCCAGGCAGGTGTGAGCAGGCCCAGTGCTGGCAGGGCAACGACTGTTCTCGGTGCTGAGACCAGGGAGCAGGGGAGGAGCTCAGCTGTAGGCCTGGCTCACCCCGGGGCTGCACTGTTCTGGCTGGGATGTTGGCGGTGCTGGGAGCACAGAGGCCAGCCACCCCCACACTGTGTTCTCTAACCTGCCGACACCGTGGGGATGTCTGGAGTCGGCTCTGTGTCGTTTCTGTGCTATACTTACCACATCCACGGTTCCAGCCATTAAAATAAATTCCTTTGTGAGGATTTCCACCATTTCTCGAACCTTTAGGGAAGAAGGTACAGATGAAGAGTGTGATCTGGACCTAACAGTCTGTCTCTTCCAATTCAATGACACCCCTGCTCCGAGAAACCAGCTCTGTATCCTGAGACACGAACTGCACAGGAAGCAGAGGCCGCCCGCTTTGGGGCTGGCCCTCACCTGTCTGGGGTCGGCGCTGGCGTGCACACACAGGAGGCCCGTGTCCTCATAGCTGTGGTGGTATGAGGTTGCGTTGTACATCCAGTGGTGCCTGTAGGGAGCAGGGACAAAGGGACACCTGGAAGGTGGTGTCACAGTCCAAAAGCACCTTCGGCTGGGCCTGGTGACCCTGGGGACAGCCAGGTGAAAAGAATCCAACCTACCTGTTGAGCACATTAAGGTAGAGCCTGGTAAACATGCCTTTGCCGGGCCCACCAGCTGAGAAGGAGCCGCCGCCCCCCATCATCATGTTCAGGACGGCAAAGGGGATGAAATCTTCCTCCTGCGGGAGACATGAGGGCAGAGGTTTGCCGGGAGGTGACATCTGGCTCTCGGATGTGGTAGGACCCGGCTGGGACTTACCAAGAAGGAACAGCTCTCCAGTCCTATCATGATGTGCGTGAGCTCGGGGAACGGGGCAGGGCCCAGGCTGACGTTGGACATATCTCTTTCCAGCTATAAGCAAAGAAAGTGAACAGTGTACCCACACAGAAAACAAGCAGGCCTGAAAAACCTCTCAGGCCAGATCAGCCTAAAAACAGTTCTACTGGGGCACCTAGGTGGCTTAGTCAGTTGAGTGTCCAACTTTTGATCTCAGGGTTGTGTGTTCAAGCCCCACATTGGGCTCCGTGCTGGGTGTGGAGCCTACTTTGAGGGAAAAAAAAAGGCAAAAGACCCCATCATGGTTCTATAGAAATCATATACGAACATCAGTAAACTCCCTCTAGAAGAAAGAACGATCCTTTAACCTTCCAGTGAAACTAAACTCATTCTTTTTTTTTTTTTTAACATCTTACTCATTTACTTGAAGAGGAGAGAGGGAGAGAAAGAGAGCACAGAGGGAGAGAGAGAAGCAGGCTCCCCGCTGAGCAGGGAGCCCGATGCAGGGCTCAACCCCAGGACCCTGAGATCATGACCTGGGCTGAAGGCAGATGCTTAACCACGGAGCCACCCAGGCGCCCCTAAACGCATTCTTAACAAGCTCTCAGCTTTAAACAAGGAACACGTCCTGCCCTGATACCACAACGTGTATTACGGTAAAGCCAAGAATACACAGCTCATTCTAACACCTGTGCGATAAAGCTAAGAACATACCAAAAACAAAGTAAAGAAAGTACATGTACCCGATCTCGGCTTTACCTTGACAACCCCCCCAGTGTACTGTGCTACCGATCTGTCGACGTCCACAGCCCTCTCACATCCCCAGGTCGGTCGGGTTCCCAGGAGGTACTTTCTGGCACATTCCACCAGGTGCTCATGCTCCACCCCGACTCCAGCCAGCACCATGCGGTCAGGGGTGTAGTAATTTCTCAGGTACGAATGAAGCACTTCTCGATCGATCTTTGCTATGTTTTCTGTGGGGCAGAAACGGTGGAGGCCAACTGTGTTTTCCCGATAAGCAGCCTAACAAAAGAAAGGAGAAACACAGGTGGCAGAGAGGCCACGGCCAGGTCTCCCCCCTGCGGAGCTGGGCCTGCCATGACCCCAGCTGTGGCAGGAAAAGCCCACAGTTGCTTAGCTTTGCTAATTTGGCAAGAGCAGTTTCGTTTGCTTACAAAAGCAGTAAAATCTCTCTCTCCAGAACGAAGTCTCAAAAAAACCCCACTTAAAATAAAAAAATCATTCTGGAAATGGATCAAGACCTTATTACTGTAAGAATGAGAATGTGAAAAACTTGCATAAGTTGCAGGTTTGAGAATTAAGAATCTTCTGTCCACACCTATAACCTGTGAATGGCCTCAGGAAGGCAGATGGGCCCTCTCAACTATGCTGCTGTTGGGAGGGCCGCGGAGGCGGAGGCGGGTGCTGGCGGGCTTTCTAGTACCTCATGAATCATCTCTGTGAGAAGCGGTTCTGGGTCAGGCCGCATGTCAAGGTCCTCCAGCTCAAATTGGACAGCCATCCGTGTCATCTCAATTTCTTCATCTGCAAAGAACCCAGACAAGGCTCAGACCATACCAGCCAGGAGGGAAATGGCACTGGGCCTAGGCTGCCAGGCTGGGCCAAGGGTCATCGGCTTGCAGACACCGGCAGTCTCCTCGGCCTTCATCTGGGGTAGACCTGGGGGCACTTGTGTGAGCGAGGGGGCAGGGCCTAGAGGCACTGGGCCTCTTGTCCGGCTCAGCCACCTGGACGTGCCCCGAGCCCCGGCTTCCTTCCCAGGAGAGGCACTCAGGCCCGACCCGTCTCCCCAGAGGACTGCCGTGAGTATAGTCATGTGGAATGGGAAGGTGCTTACAAAAGAGGCACCATCCGGCATCACGGCTGCCACTTCATCAGCAACCTGGAGTAAGTACTGGAAGGACTACAAGGCCAGGCTGACGTGACCAGAGCGCAGCCAGGGCAGCAGCAACGGGCAGCAGGGCCCTCTCTGGTCCACTGCGGGCACGGAATTCAAAGTCCTGCCACCACCAGGCCAAGGAAGGGGATGGACACAGGGACGTGGAAGCTTCTGGTGGCACACCAGCCTGGTGTTTAAAGACAGTCTGAAATGCCTTTCAGAAGTGAAAGACCCAGGGCTGCCTGGCTGGCTCTGTCAGAGGAGCATGCGACTCTTGATCTCCGGGTTGTGAGTTTGAGCCCCATGTTGGGTGTAGAGAGTACTTAAATTTTAAAGGAAAAAAAAAGAAGGAGAAATGAAAGACCCAATTTAACTAAGAACGTTAAAAAGCACAGTTATGTCAAAGTACTGAGCTCACTGAAGGACTTTTCTGACCATCAGCGTTATTTCCAAGGAAATCGTGCCAACTCACTGGTAGCTGACCTCGAGGGCTGCATACAACGCTCTTCCTCAGGGGCAGCGCTTCCCCGTGCCTCCCAAGGGCCCAGCCCCCAGCCCCCTCATGCGGCCCCGGGCCCACCTGTGAGCCTGGGGTGCAGGACCACATCAGCGAGCAACCCAACCACCGTGTCCAGGCCTTTAGAGTCAGCAGACACAGCGTACATGGTGGTGTCCCTGGAAAGAAGCAACGACATGAGGCACTGAGGTCACCACAGGGACACACCAGCGGGGGCCACTCCCCCCGCTGCACTGAGGACCAGCACACACTCGCTATGTCCCACCTTACAGGACAACTTCCAGCATGCACTGGAGTGACAGCAGCTGTGCAGCCAAGATGGACAAGAGCCATCCTGAGACATTTCCATAAGCACAGGCCCCCTGCCACGGGGGCCCTTTTATCACGGGCTTCCTGAGCATCAGCTGCCCCGACTCACGGTCAACATGTAGTATGCATGGCCTTATGCGGTTGGGGGACAGGCCACAGGTGGCAGACAAACACCACCTGCCCTATCCACAGCGCCCCTACATCTGTGTGCTGGCTACATACTGAACCTCCCCCTGTCCCCAAAAAGACCACTGCCTCTTCCGGGCTGAGCCTCTCCCCGTGCTGTTCTGGGCCACCTCCTCCCCTCAGTCGGTCTGGCAAACTCCTCCAAGACCAGTCCAATGATGACTTTGTTATCATTCCTTTCCTGACTCCAGACCAGGTTAGTTGCCTGTCCCCCACCAGTCTCGGTCTCTGGCTCTTGTGTCCATTACCTGGGGTGCAGCCCTCTGCCAGATACGCGAGCATATTGGGGACAGGGCCGGCTGCATCCCTAGTGCCCAGCTGGCAGTCTCTGGGTATTGCCTGGCCCTCCAACGGGTTCTCTTCTCTAAGTGCTGCTGCCTGCATATTTCCCCCACCAAATTCTCCACCCAACCCGGCCTAGGCCAGGCTCACTTCTCACCCTAACCTCCACAAGCCTCTCCAGGGCGTAGGTTTCAGTGGGACTCTGACCAAAGATAAGAACCACAGTTCCACGTGGATGCAAAATACGACGGCGTACCTTGACGTCTGGCAGTCACAAATACCCCCGTGCTTTTCCAACGTAAGCAGAATTTCATCTTTGCTGTTAAATCGATCCGTCGACTAGTAAAGATAAATAAGTAAACCTAAATACGCAATCCAAAAAAACCTCTAAAATATGTTCTTTGAGAAAAAAATTTACTTCGAAAACATGTGAAATCAAGTTATCTTTTAACCTAAATATCTTTCAGTAGGATTATCTTAGCAGCTTAGTCACTTATTAAAATAACCATTCTAAAAAAATTAAAACTTGACAGATTCTTCTCAAGTATAGGCTCAAAGATTACAAACAGGACACTGACCGAAAATGCCAATTTTTCCAAAAAGTGAGCAATTCCACTAAGATATTTTGCTTCATATCTTGATCCTGAATTAATAAGAACTGGCAATAAAAAGAAAATTGACAGGTTAAACCAAACGTTGAAAAGGGGAGGTTTTAGGGGGATTTAATCTAGAGAAACCTTTAAAACTGAACGCGATCAGACAGGCTGACCTAATTACGTGAGGGTGATGATGTGTCCACTACCTGGGCTACGTCCCCACAGCTGCACACCCACGTTGACACTGATGGAGCTGATGCTTCATGTTTACGGTGGAAAAGCGTGAGATTTCTATGAAGGTGGAAAGGGGGAAAAGCCCACCGCCAACGTGGTGGTTCATGCTCTGTGTATTGTTTTCAGGGTCTACGCCGTACTTTCCCACTCCGAACACAACTCACAGACGACGTATAAAGCCTAACAATCAGCTGAGGCACGTGGGCGTGAAAACAAACGGGATGACCCACACCACCAGCAACAGTACTTACTTCCTACCGTACAAAATTGTCCAAATTTGTTTTGGGAGGCCACGCGAAGCCCATTATCCAGCGTGGTGACTCTGGTTTCAAACTTTTCCTGTCCATCCACTGTAGCAAACACAGGCTCAGGCACCCCGGGCAAGGGGGATGAGAGCGGGATGTTGGGATAGGCAGCGCCACTGCTGAACGGCCTGTGGGGAGGGGCTCCGGACCTACACGGAGGGGAGACCCAGTTACAAGAGACGCGAGGCCACCGAGCCTGCGGCGACCGTCTGCGCCCGGTCGGGCACGTCCTGTCCACGTCAAAACCGGGTGCGCCCCTTTCTGTAGATTCGTTTTAACACACCCCAGGACAACACGGGTGTGACCGGGACACCGCCGCTGGGTACAAACCCCGGCTCGGCCCCGGGCCTTGACTTCCCCCTCTCCGAAGACCGTGACAGCCCCGCACGCTGCCGGCAGCCGGCGCCTTAAAGCTCTTCGGCCCACGCAGCCCCGCCGGAGCCCGCAGAAGCCAACCCCTGCGCGGGCGCACGAGGCCCCGGCCTGGACTCCAGCTCGCTCTCCAGCCGCCGCAGGGTCCCAGGCCCAGCGGCCGCCGGCCCGCGCCCCAGCACGCCTGGCCCCTGGCGGCCAA